TATGTCTATGTTTGACTTTTTGACATCTGTTATTTGATTTTTGAGTGAACTCAAATTCATTTGACTTTGAGGGTTATAAGCTGTTCCGTCTGCAGCTCCACCATAGCCTGCCATTTTCGCTAAAAGTGCCGCTCTTAAACCTCCACTCTGTGCACCAACAACTCGGTTTAAAAGCATAGGATTGCTTGACATTTGTTGCAACATAGTGGGGTCATTCAGCATTTGTTGTTGCAACTGTTGTTGTGGTGTTAGTTTTACTATTGGATGTTTCAATGCTCTCTTCCTCTTACGTATATTCTTACGTAGCTTACGTGGCATTTTAAGTGAAGTTAAAAAGCGGCTTTATACTAAACATCTTCGGGGCTAGAGGGCACGAAGTGCCTGGAAGCCCCACTTTCCTTTTTTTTTTTTTTTTTTTTTTTTTTTTTTTGTTTTGTTTTGGCAAAGACTTAATCAAATTACCAAGATAATATCATGCTGAAAGAAGGAAAATTATATTGATCCTGTTCATAGACATTTTTTTTATTTGGACGCAGGTAAACATAGGAAAATCTTCTTAACCATTCAGATGAAGAGATAGAAATGTAAAGTTTGTAAAGTGTCAGATTTAATAATTCATAAGTTACCATTCGATAAAAGACAACACTAGAAATCTTTAACTATGTCGATAAAAATCGTAGTTCATTTAAAAAGTGACAAATTTTTTCTAATGATTGGATCATACAAGCCTTGTAATCCAATTAACGAAGAAACAACTATTCTATTTCAGGCAATATCCAAGAGATCTTCATATTCACCAGAATCAAATCATGAAGCTTTGGTAGAATGTGCATTTTTAAAATATTGGTTAGATCTGATCGATTTTCATATTCAAAATATTCATGTATTGGATTGGCATTATCATGCTAGGAAGTTTTATGAAGGAATGATAACATATTTCGATGTATCAAAATTTAAAGATGAAGCAGAAAAAGAAGAAATGATTAAACAATTTGTGGATTTTTCAGATTTAACAAGAAGAGACCTTGATGATATCTTTCATATTTATAAGAGAAAAGTTCTAGCCATATTTTTCTTAGAACTATTCGCTTGTATATTCGGAAATTATCTCAATTAATTAGTCAAAGATCTATTTGATCCTATTCATAAGTACCTCATAGATATACAAACAAATATTCATGGACTTTGGAATCGTTACAAAGACAAAATTTTACCATCCTACCCTTGGCTTTTAAAGTCCCAATATTTTGCCCAAAATAAGTTATCTTGGAAAAAATTACCCACTCCTCAAAAAAAAAAACTAATAAACAATCAAACTTAGAATCACACTTAAAAATATATCAGAATAATTGATGTTAATATGTATTTTTTGGTTGAAATTTCAGATGAAATTATTAAATTTCCATAAATTAGATTGCACATCAAATTAAAGAGTTGCTTTGAATATCTCATTCCAGACAAATTGTATGATGCTCAAATAATCATAGAATCCTCGTTTATTAGATATATTATTCATAAATTTAGGATTTGTATGTCGTTTTTCTAGATAAACATATATATGTCCTAATAACATGCTTATATTTCACATTATTCGCTATCTGAGGTAAGAGGGTAAAAAAACAATGGTACCACATTCAAAATTGAGAGAGGGTCAAAGTTGCTATTTGTCACTTTTCCACAAGAATATAATGGGGAAAAAGTTATCATATAGTTGATCTCATTCACTGAGGTGAGAGATGCATGTAGTGTAATGGGATAAACAGTGGGATTGCTATTCTAAGTCCTAGGTTCGAGACACATTGGCTTCATTTTTCTCTTTTTTATTGACGTAAACTATTCAATTTTTGTGTTCTCCATTCAAATTTCAGAATTTTTTTTGCAGATTTCACGCTACATTCGAAGTTACCTTTTGTAACAACCACCACTGCCTACGAAAGACGAAAGTGTGTCACGATTTCACCCGGAAATCCGACGGTTGTTTAAGAGTATGCACTTTTGTCACCTACTCATTCAAAATTTAAGAGTAGGTTTTGAAATTTGAATGTGGTTTTGGCCGGTAAAAACTGGCGGTTTTATACCCAGGTTGACACTTCTGAAAAAAAGTTGATATATTTGATTCAATAATTGGCATATAAGAAGAATTTTATTTATAAATCAATAATAAAAAATGGTGCACCATTAACTCAATTTCGTAAAAAAATAATGATAGCATTTTAGATTAAATAATAAGCATTGTTATACTATAAGTGGAATAAATTTCAGTTTTGAATTTTTTTCGTATAGAAATTTTTGGAAATATCAGTATTTCAATTTCTGTCGATCAAATTTCTATAAAATTAAAAAAGATCGTGGAGCATCATATTGTGGTCATATATTTTCATTTTTTGCATAAATATTTCCTGCTAAAATACAAAATTGCCATAATCTCATGGTGGACCACAGCTGGAGTCACCGCCGACTATCCACTTGCTGGGATGCTACTCAGCCTTTGATCTGGCCTGCCCATTTCAAGCAAATTTACTCCCCTAACCCTCGGAGGTTAAGGGAGTAGTACTACAGTCAACGAGGGCAATAACGTATAACTAATATCGACAGAAGCACAGTAACTACGCAGACTAGCTACGCTATCCTAGCAGCTAGGCTGCATAGTTATTGTGCTTCTGGCTTGCGCAACCCTCATGGAAGACCGATTGGAGATCTCCCGCCGAAATCACTTGCTGATATGGATTCGATGAGAGACTTCGTAATGAGCATTGCCTTAAAGTACTCTTACTACTCTTTCCTGGTCTCAAAAGGTCTAGGATTCTGTAATTAATCGAATAGGGCAGAGTTCTTCCGAAGTCTCTAATTTGATGAAAGGCCTCGGAAGAACTCTGCCCTAGTGTAATTTAGTCGGCGGTGACTCCAAAAAAAAAATAAAAATAAAAATAAAAAATAAAAAAAAACCGAAACCAGTTTAAACTAAGTCGCCAAATCTTGACCAATTTTGATTCAGACGAATAGACCAAAAATCTAAGGTTAATTTTCAAAAAAATTTTAAGTCATTTACCAACTACTCTCCAAAAATCCACCCCATAGGGTGAGGGTTGGGTAGGAACATAACAAAATTCTACCAGAATTTAAAGAAACCATTCCATACAAAGTTGCATTTACTAAACATAATTTTAACAGAAAGATACCTGCTAATCCACCTTTTCGTTTCGAAATCGACTCAGATTACGATCCTCGAACTGACGAACAAAACTCATGACTTCCAGATGAATCATCAGAACCTATCCTTAAATATCGATCAGTCGATGAAATAACCTATAGACATTGATTTTAAAATTAACATGATGTCTAAGTAAAAATAATTTTTTAAAACATCTATTTTTTCCCATTTAATTCAAACGAGATCCTTACATTATATAACAAACCTTTTGAATCGAAATTATATCATCCTCAATATTATGAATTCTTTCATTAGAATTTAAATAATTTTATTTCCATCCTTTTTAAAGTGCAAACAAAGTTTATCGTAAATGAGTAAATTTGATTTCCAATAAACTTTATATATAAAAGAGAATGCAAAAAAATATGCAATTTTTTTAGGAACAAAAAGAATATATGAGCTTTATAACATGCCTATTTTAGTTTTTGATTGACCGCGAAATTTGAGCCTTCTAGGCTCAAATTTCGCGGAAAATTTTCCAAAAGTATTGCCCAAAATGCAAAAGAATTGCCATAACCGACATGCTTAGCTATTGGATTTCCTTATCGCCAAGAGATAAACATAGAAAGTTGTAGCTTATCACGTGATAAAAATCGTTTTTCATTAAAAAAAATCGACAAACTGTTTAATCATTTTTTTCTGTTTCATCTTTTTTAAAAAATTCCAATAAAATTTTTAAAAAAGTGACAAAAATTTTCATGCTCATTACACAAAAACCTGTTGATCCAATTAACGAAGAAACCACTATTCTATTTCAGGCAATTAGCGAGAGATCTTCCTATTCATTATATTCAAATCAAGATCTTTATTTTAATGCCATTAATTTGAATAAATGGCTAAATTTCATCAATTTTAATATTCCTCATATTTGTCTAGCAAATTGGCATTATGATGCTAGACTATTTTACGAAGGAATGATAACATATTTCGATGTATCAAAATTTAAAAATGAAGCAGAAAAAGAAGAAATGATTAAACAATTTGTGGATTTTTCAGATTTAACAAGAAGAGACCTTGATGATATCTTTCATATTTATAAGAGAAAAGTCTTAGCTATATTTTTCTTACAACCATTTTCTTGTTTATGTCGAAATCATCTCAATAAATTAATCAAAGATTTATATGATCCTATTCATAAGTATCTCATAGATTTACAAACAAATATTCATGGACTTTGGGATCGTTACAAAGACAAAATTCTACCAGAATTTAAAGAATCATTTTCATACAAAAATGCACATAGTAAAAATTCTATTTTTATAGCAATACCTGATGATCCTCCCATATATTTCGAAAGCCACACAGAATACAATCGTGTAACTGACGTTCAAAACTCTAATTCATCACTTCTTCCAGGAGAATCATCAGAACATATTGAAAACTATCAATCTCACGATGAAATAACCAATCGACATTGATTTTAAAACTTAAATGATGTTTGAAATTTAATTTTTTTTTTAATAACATATATCAAAGCTTTTAAATAATTAAATAAGCTATCGGATTTCCTATTAACAAGCTAGTTTAGGAAACAATTTTTCCTCAATTTGAAATGAGAGATAAAACAATTGATGAGCAAGCATTAACAATGTTCCACAATAGCTAGAACTGCCATCGGAGGCCTGATTTTTTTTCATCAAATTGTTTTATCCCCAAATACTTTTCCCAGAATTCTAGCTTACCAACCAGAAACGTCCATCTTAACTCGCGAATGACAGAGCCAAAGTTAAGGTTGATACATAAGTAGTTATAAGAATGAAAATAAAAAAAATTTTTTTTATAAAAAAAAATGGATACAAATTCGTTCAACTTAGGATGTGCTATTATTGCATCTGCCCCTCTTATTGTCGGACATCTAGTTTTTCACGACAACGTCAGATATATCCTCTTTTCATGGTTCTGCGCTTTTGTATCAACTTTATTGTTGATCATTTGCTCATTGACACCTCTAATCACGAAAAACTACTTCCTAATATTATTTATTTCATGTCCAATTGATACTCTTGGCAAATTAATTCTTTCAATTATCGCAAAAAAGCTTAAATTTTTACAAACACCAGTTACTCGTATTTCTGTTGGCTTATGCTGCGGCCTTGGTTACGGACTTGCTCATGTACTGACAATGTATTTACCAATTGTCATGGATCAGCCATTTTCAATAGATTTTTCGTCAAGTCATCCATTTTGGTTCCCAAGTGCCCTTGATTTAGCTTTTGTTTACCACGCTCTTTCCGTATTCCATATGGCAACTTCTTTATTCTTCATCAGATTCTGGGATAAGAATCTTTTCATTCTCTATTTAATCGGAACAGTTGCTCATCTCCTTATTTCATACATTACAATTATTCCATATTTCTGGCTTAAGATCCCGATTTTAATGGTTCTTTCTTACGTTTCTTTGTATTATACAACAGGATTATATAAGTCTCTTGATTATCAGCCAATTGATAATGTTCCAGAAGATGAAGTCGAAAATTATGACGAAAACAAGCTTCAAGCTGATTCTGCGGAATCTAATAATAATTAAACTAAACTGTTCTATTTCTACTAATAGTTTATTATTTCTGATTTTTCTAAAATGAATCCATAGATATTTTGCCAAACCTCAGATTAATAAATTATGAGAATGAAAGTATGAGAGATAAATTGTGCCAAAGTATGACTATCGTCATTTTATTTTCATCTGAAACAATGGGGAGAAGCTTCCTAAACTTTTTAATCCCATAAATATGGTCATTATCTGGAATAAAGAGTTAAGCGTCATATGTCACTTTTTGTACTAAGGAAACATCGACTTTATGCGTTATGACTTTTCGATGAGGAAACAAGTGTTCACGTATTATAAACTTCCTTATCCCAATAAACCGGCCCTAAACATAATTAATTTTAAGCATTATAATGGTCTCTTTTCTATGATAACCAAATCAAATTGGTTATCATAGAAAAGCACCAAAAACTGGAATAGGAATAGCCGCGTTAAAACAGGAATAGGCAATATGGAAACAAGGGTAGACTCAAACCCATACTCAAGGCAAGACTGATACAAGAATTACAACAAAATTTTACAAAATCTATTATTTATCTCAATTTAATGGCAGGTTTTTGTACCCGAAGAGTTTGCATTCTACTTTTTGCTCTTATTTTACAAAAATATTCTAAAAATTTGTAACTTCTTTTATAATATAATACTTTTTTTCAAATTTACTTTCCAGACGTTAATGTCTTGTTACGGCTATATCTTTGTACGGGGAAATAAAGAAATTTTATTATGCTATTATATTATTTTTTTAAATCAATATCTAATCAATAGTAAGTTAGATTTTTTATTAAAAGAGCAAATAAAGATACGATCGAGCAATAGTTTATTTTAAATCTCAATATTATAAAATAAATGTTCAAAATTTTTAAGTAATAATACTAAATACTTAAATAAGTAAAAGCACACAAGAAAAATATTCACTAACTTAAGAAAAAATCATATATTTAGAGAATTATCCCTTATAATAAGATTAAAAAAAATTAAACTGTTTTCAATCATCATCATCACCAGCTCCATAGAACTTGTGTTTGCGATAGATGACACATTTTGCAAGCCATTTGACACCACCAAGATATGACCACAAATCGCTGCCAACATCTCCACCTTGAAGACCTTTGATCAAACCATCAGGAACAATGTAAGTAATTTCATCGTCGAGCATGAACCAAACTCTTCCTTTGTTGACGAAGGCAACGAAATGACCTTGATGATAAGCAATAATGGAATGTATCTTAAATACATACGTTCCATCACTGAGTTGAGTTTTGTAGTTCTTCTTGATCTCAAATTTGTCAAAGAAGACATTTGGATCAGACCAATTCCTCTGAACGTCGACCCAGAGGAATGTTGAGATTTCATTGATATGAGAATCATCTGTGCACATTTGTTTAATTCCTTGATCAATACCTGCTGCACCAAGAGGAATGTGAAGCGAAACCGAATAGAAGCTTTCATCAGGAGTCTCAGTTTGATATTGGAATGTAACGGCAATATCTGGTTTGTTTGCTGATTCCGTAACATCATGTACAATCTTTTGAAATGTGTCATCGGCATCTTGCTGCTGGAAGTATTGCTTGCCGAGTGTTGTGATGAATTGTGAGCATGAAATTGTGTATTCCTTGTGGCGGTAGTGCAACATCTGATCATAAATTTCGGCAAGTGCTTTCACTGGCGTATATTCGACATCTCCCAAATGCTCCATTACATCTTTTCTGAAAGTATTTACGTAGAACAAAACTTGCAAAACGGCATTGACATGGCAGGTAGCTCCCTCATTATGTAATCCTGGAATTGACATTTTTGTTTCGATGTTGTAGATTGCATTTTGTGTTCTTTTAACAAGTATCTTATCAATCTTTTCATATCCAGCTAGTGGAGATGGAATCTTCATTGGAGTTTCTGGAGTTTGGAGATAAAGATCTTTTGGAACACATCTTGGCTTTGGCATTGGGCTTCCTGAACCATTTGGTTCTGGTGTTGCTGCAGCTTCTTTTTCATCTTTTGGAGTGCAAGGAAAATCGCAGTTATCCTTCTCACTGAGAGGTGTGGAATCGATGTGATAGTTATCTAAAGCAAACAATCCTTGAACAATAAGTGGAAGATTGCCTTTTTCACCACGATATCCTATTGCCAAGACACTCCAATTACTTTTATCGCGTGCAAAGCGGCGTTCGACAATTTGGCGATCATGTGCAATCGCATTATTGCGTTTTGTAACTTCTTCGTCATCACCTCTTTGCATAATGACGGCTGTTGGATGGTATTTCTGAATACCGATGTAACCTCTATCTGCAAGAAGTCCTAATGCAACAGATTCAACTCCACGTTGGACATGTAAAAAATCTGAAGCTCCTGATAAATCAAATACTTTCTTATCGTGAACTGAAGCTAAAAAACTTGTATTCATGTGAATTACCTGTCCTAAAGGATTAACAAGAACTTGAACCTTCATACCATTGCAATGGTTTTTAGCATCCCATGAACTTTTACGCTCAGCAAGATCAAGAGGAACGGTAAAAGGAATAGTAGAGCTATCAACTGCAGCAACACATGTTGGAAAGTTATCGAACTCCTTGTCACAGGGAGAATATTGTTTTGGAATGAATTCAGCAATGAAAATTGGGAACATCCTGTTTGTTGTTTTGTTAATGATTTTGCTGAGGTAACTCTGTTTCAAACTAACAATTCCTGACATTTTTTGCAATGGAAGATAAGTGCAATAGTAAGTTAATGTTAGGAATAACGCATCTAATGGATCACAACCGTTTTTCCGACCGCGTCTGGATGAAAACTCATGCTCGCGAACAACATCAACTAAATACAAGAGTTGATCCAAAGAAAAGTTACAAAGGTCTTTGACATTTAAGATTGGGTGTGCCTCAAGGAATTTTTGTAAGCTAAACTTTCTGACAACTTTAAATTCTTCGGCATTAGCTGGTGCTTGATTTTCATCTTCACTTGCGGGCTCTGATTCATCAAGATAAGCTAAGTGCATTTGCATTCTCACGATTTCCTTGGATCGGGTTTTGGACTTCTGGATATCATCCAAGAACTCGGAATCATCCTTGTACTCCATTAATGAAAGTGATATGAACATTTCTTCTAAGAGTTTTCATTCAATTCATGTTTTTAAGAAGTTAGTGAATTAATTTTCATATCTCAGAAATTCGAAAAATAGTTGTTTAACACAAAAATTGATCAAATGCTTCTCTAATTATCTAAATAGCTAAAATTGTAAATTCAAGATATTTGACACAAATTCAATTTTGACGGTTTGAAACAGTGCGTTTATTCTTCCGTTTATTTCTAAAAGCATAGCATTTTTATTAAATATGATTCTAATAATATTTTTGGATTAAACAGATATCTGTGGTCAATTCTATTGATTTTTTTTCCACTCGGAATACATTTTTAAGATATGTAATTTGATCCCACTACTATCAAATGATTAATGCATATAAAAAAAGCAATTACATTTAAAAAAACGAACTATTGAAAAATTGACAGTTGACGGTATAGTTTCAATTTTTTGAATTGATATCGACTATTTTAAAAATGAAACTCTTTTGGAGTTTTTTATGCATCAAAAGGTATTAGTACACACATATATATAAGATCTAGTAATTCGGTTAAGCATTGAAGGTAATTCAAAGGTTTAGATTTTGATATTTGTTTTGTTTGAATACTCTACATGTATATTTAGACTTCATACAAAGTTCCAAAGGTCTATAAACATAGAAAAAATTTAGGATATGGTAATAAATTTGGTTCGTAAAATTGGAAGGAAAATTTTATCTATTCATATATTTAGAACCATCATGTTAAATATATCTATTAATGACTAATATTGCCAAAGGAGAAGGGAAAATTTTATAAAATTTTATCATATTAAGGTATAAAACTATTATTTCCTATATATTTATGAATCAAATAGTAAGATAATCACTCTTTGTTAGACTAAATTAAATGAAAAAAGTCTAAATTGTATGATCGTCTAAACTCAGTATAACCTATACCAAAGCTTATTAATGGCTTATGCAAATATACAGCTGATGTTAGCTTAGTTTTTGACCAAAATACAAAAAAAAATTATGAGTACAATATGATCAAATTTTTATAAAAGCAGCCGAAAACAGCATTCAATTGGAATGGTATTATCAATGATAATCATTCAAGACACTTTTATCAAAAAATTTACATAAATCTTTTTCAAAACAGAGTATTTTTGCAAAAATTTCATCGAAAAGATAGCTTTGTCTAATAAAAATGATATGGTACGGAAAATCTATTGAAAATAATCTGAGGAATTTGAAATTCATTAAAAAGTCTTGAAAAAAGTGAATGCATTCATGAATGTCCCATATCCATTTTATCCTAGTTGTTTCATAATTCCATATTGCCGATTCCTATTCTAGTTTTTGGTGCTTTTCTATGATAACCAATTTGATTTGGTTATCATAGAAAAGAGACCATTATAATGCTTAAAATTAATTATGTTTAGGGCCGGTTTATTGGGATAAGGAAGTTTATAATACGTGAACACTTGTTTCCTCATCGAAAAGTCATAACGCATAAAGTCGATGTTTCCTTAGTACAAAAAGTGACATATGACGCTTAACTCTTTATTCCAGATAATGACCATATTTATGGGATTAAAAAGTTTAGGAAGCTTCTCCCCAATATTGACTTGGTGCTATTGATAAAGAATTTGGTAGAAGTTTTACACATTTCCGATAGGAAAAAGATGCCTTCAGGTACTGACTCTAGACCAGTACTTCATAATATCCTATTACTATTTTTAAATCTCTGTAATGTAGAGTTGATATAATTTTGTGATTCAATTTGAGGTAAAAAGAGGAAAGATTTCTATATTACGGGAAAATTGAAAATATAAATTGTTAATCAATTTTAAGATGATCGTTAACAGAATATGATATATTTGCATTTTTGATGTGTCTTTGTTTCATCGCTCGTCGTCAGATATGGTTTAATGAAACTATATAGATAATATTCGTATTTATTAAGAGGAAACCATGATTGTGTAAATTTAATTCCACATATTTAAATGATATATTGCTGAATTTCAGAGGAAGCATATTTCAATTTTCTCTGAAAGTTTTCTTGCAATAAAAAAACATTAATAGAAATAACATATTTTTTTTATTTTTCCGAACATAAATTGACAATTTCATCCAAATTAAACAGTGTTGCGAGTTTCTTTACACTTTGATTATCTTTATTTTTCTTTTTAAGATTTGCTTGTGCAGAGACCAAGAACTTATAGTAAATTGGCTTTGCATCTTTTCCTTTTGCGAGCATCAGTGCCAAAGCAGGAGTATTTCCTTTATCATCAACATCATTAATATTCATTCCGCTTTCCAACAGATATTTAACAACATTAATTTTCATAGAACAAACAGCACTAAACAAACAATTTCTTCCAAGTTCGTTCTTTGTATTTAGACCAATTCCTGATTTAACTAATCTCTTAACAACATCAATATTATCATGCGAACAAGCTGCATGTAAACAAGTATTTCCTTCCTGGTCAGTCAGATTAATGTTTCCTCCGAAAGAAACAATGTAATCGAAAACAGGAAGAGATGATTTCGTTGCATCCAAAATCATTGGTTTTCCATTCTTATCAGATGTATTCAGTTCCTTAAGATGAGAAAGGAATAAATCAATTTCACTCAAACTTGGCGAATTCATTACAATTCTATGGAAAGAATTTCTTCCGAGAGAATCAACGATATTGCAATCACCTCCTGCATTCAAAAGAATAGAGATCATTGTCTCTCTTTCAGCAGAAGGGGATTGAGTAACTAAACAAAGAAGTGGTGTCAATCCTTTATTATCTTTCGCATTCGGATTTGCTCCATTATTTAAGAATAAATCAACAGCATCGAAATTCAAATTATCTACTGCAATATGAAGCGGTGTTTTACCAATTGAATTCGAATCATTCAGAACACCTTTAATTTTAGAAAGTAAACTCAAAATCGGATAATTATCACAATCCAAAGCAGTCAAAATTGGTGGATTTCCTTTCGAATCCTTAATTGTTGGGTTACAACCTTTGCAATTAAGTAATTTCTGCATAACAGTTACATTTGTTGTTGCTGCATGATGAAGAATTGTTAATCCTTCATTATCCTTTAATTCCAGAGAAGCCCCAATATTTATTAATCTATCCATTGTATCCAAATCCATGTTTTTAACAGCAAAAGTGAAAGTATGCATCAAAGCTTTTTCTTTGTATTTCGCTTGTTGTAATAAATATTCAACAACATCAGGATGATTATTTTGACTGGCCAAAATCATCGGCAATGATCCATTTTCTGTTGGATTACAATTTATTTCAACCAAATATTTGACAACATCTAAATGTCCTGATTGTGCTGCTGCTGATAAAGGACTTAACAGTCTTGTTGTTGTATTTATCTGTGTTTCTGTATCATATTCTGCTCCATGTTCAACCAAGTGTTTAACAATATCTAAATAGCCATTTCGTGCTGCAATAGTTATCGGTTTGTCAGGATTTGTCACTTTTTGTACGATATCGTTTATATAAGCACCATGAGAAGTTAGTAACTTAATGATTTCTAATGATGGCATTGCGCAAGCTGCTTGCATCAATGTTTGCTCGCGATTAGCCACATTAGGATTCAAACCTGCATCTAGAAGGATTCTGAAGCACTCAGGGTTGGCTCCATACGTTGCATCTATAAGTGGAAGGAAATCTAGCTCTTTCGGATCGTAAATTATTGTATGATTTTTGACTAAGTAGCTAAGAATGTCCGAATTGCCACTACGAGCTGCCTGGCATGCACAAGCAATATGGCGGAAGTTGCATCCACGTGATTTGGCCAACTGAAGCAAGGCCAAATTATCTAATTGTAAAATACTTAAAGCATTCGTACTCTGGTTCATATCTATTGGTCCTTGCATGAGCTCCAACATGGCATCGACGTTGTGGTACCTGCAGGCGTACTGCATGGCCGTATTTCGTTCCGTGGTCGTAGATCTGGAAAACTCTAGAAGCCATTTGAATAGATCGGTATGACGGTACATGATTGCTTGGTTGGCCCCTTTGAACATTTTAATGTTCTTGCGGGAAATTATATGAACAATTTCTAAATTTCCGCCTGAACATGCAAAAGGAACTAAGGATTCGGTTAGAGGAACATCACTTTCAACAAGAAACTTGAAACATTTAACGGAACCATAAAAACAAGCGTATTCTATCAAAGATGCGTCTGTCAATATGGGATCGATGACTCTGGATAGTAAGGATGAACAATCTAGCTTGGCGGAAATGTCAAAATTGCCTTCGCTTCGTTTCTCGTTGATATAATTTTGTAAATATTCTAAATCATCTTGTTGTATGTGATATTGGATGGTTTCTGGTATCCAGCCGGATTCTATGAATTTGGTGAGCTTGTCGAAATTGTTCTTTTCGTATTCGTCCGAGTCTTTTATTTCTTTGAAAATCGCGGATTCGCCTTTCTTAATTCCGGCTTTAATATCATTGTATCTGGAGTTGCATTTCTCTTTTACAAGATCTGCAAAGCACATAAATGTAAACAAACCGTTATCAAGAGGAAATAATGGTAATAATGAATCAATAGTAAAAGTTCCTGCATGAATACATCGTCTGAGTAATCTATAGTTGATATGATTGTTTGTTAATGGACGTAAAAAAGTCGGAATTAAATGAAGAAAATTATTTTCGTTTTTATTGTTATATAATTCAACTAAGAGTGCACAATATGCTTCATTGTTCTGAGGAAATGCTTGACTTGCGTATACTATCTCTTGTGTAATGAATTTGACTTGATGAATTGTTTGATGATATCCGTCATTGATTAGCATGTTGTAAGTGTCGATAATCGAATTCATCGTTAGTTTCTTTAAAGATTCTTGTAAGTTAACTAATTTCTGAATTTCCGGATTATCCATTTTTTTTGAAAATTTTTCACTTTTATTATGTTTTTTACAGGCGCGAATTTTTCAAAAAATGTAATAAAAAGTATAATTATCTTATTAATGATTAATTTTGATTCTAATACCGAACAGCATTTGAACCAAAAATAATCGTATTTTTTTAAAAGGAATTTGAATCGATTAGAACCTTAAGGGTAAAGAACTATATTTATCATGATCAGGCCTTACGGTAAGCCAATATTGTCTAAGGATGTCGCTTGGGGGACATTTTGGGACTCGACCAAATAATTTTCGAACTCTTGGGGACAAATGATTTGTAAAGTGTCAAAAATTATTAAAGTATGTAATAGAAATGATTTGTAAAGTGTCGATAATCAACCCCCGGGGGGACAAAACGACTTCCTTATATTGTCGCTCCAAATATCTGAATCAGATTGAGATTCAGCGAATCTTGATCTGCTGTATTGAGAACATATCGAAAATGATATAATAGATCATTGTGCCCAATCATATAGCTCAATTTCTCAATATCTAAAAAAAAAATTAAGTTTTTATCACAAATTTATAAATTTATTCAAATAATGACTTTGGCATTGTGATGCTGCATACGTATTTTCCACCTGTATGGAATGTTTCTTCAGATGGAGTCATATCAATCTGGCACTGGCCTTTACTATAGAAGTAAAAGCCGGAAATCATAATTCCTATGTCGAACGTTGATATTCCATTCGCCAGATTGTAGTAATCGAAGATCTTGAACTTATTTTCGTCTGGATTATAGGAAATTCTCCATGATTGTTTGTTTGAAGCAGAGGGAAGCCATCTGATGCAATCTAAGAATTCCATCAACTTGCCTTCCTTGGTTTGCTTGATTGGCTCCTTTGTCTTCTCGTTGTAGAAAATTACAGGAAATTCGTATCTGCTGCGACTAATTAGATAGTTGAGCAGCAACTTTTCCAAAAGCAACTGTGCATGGAATCTTGAATCCAGGGAATCTTGATTCAACTAAAGCTTCTTGATAAGTTCCTGCAATCCAAACAGTTCCTAAATGGTTTTGTACGATTCTAAGGACTGCAATTGATGCTTTGAATGTTGCATCAAGTGTGTATTTAATGATTTCTTCCTTGTCAGTTATTTCCAATGGGTATTTGAGCACAATCCAACCAGATTCTGCTTTAACAAAACCGAATCTACCAATTCCTGGCTCTGTAATAGCAATTGATGCGTTTGTTCCGCAAATTGAAGGTAATTCATTGCATTCTTTAACGATATTTTCAACAATTGCACGCTCTTCTTCAGTCATACTGCCATCGAAGTTTCGTTCAGAGCGTCTCCGCTTGAAAGTTTCAACTATCTCCATTGGTGGGAGTTTCTCAGCCATTTTTGTCAGATTTCGTGATCACTTTGAATAGATGTAAAATTTCTTTAAAAAAAATCTTACATTGTAATGTTTTGTAACTCATGAGACACTAGAGATCCATGAAGGTGGTCCTATGTTAGAACTCCTAACCATACCGATGAATCTTTTTGTAAAGTGTGTCGAAATAATTTTTTCTAATCGAGTAAATTCTGATTTGTAAGAATTGTTTTCAGAAAAAGGAAGCTCTGTTGAAAGTAATTTTGGTATTAAGAAATCTTCTATAATAGCTAAGTTTTCAATCTTAATGGATTGATCTTTGATAATATTCATGCTTTTATTGCTAATTTTTGCAATCTTTAGCTTGTTTTCTTTTTTATAGTAAATTATTGAATAATCTGGTGAAGTTTCTGATAAATATCTATCATAGTCTAGTCCCTCATGAGTTGTATCTGATATTGTTTTCAATTCTGGAAAAACAAGACTCTCTCTAATCAAACTTGAGAGATCAAAATTTTCCATTAAGGGTGCACCCGCATGTACGTTTATTTGAGAGTAGGAGGATTACCCTCTCAATTTTGAACGCTTCGTTAGCGCAATATCTCGATGAATATTGTATTAAAATTGAATTTGCCCATACCAATATATCTGATACAATATCCTTTAAAAAAAATCAAGGATTGACTGCTCTTCATTATGCAGTGTGAAAATATCTGTAAGAAAGAGATGAACTTCTTATCATGGACCACTCAAAATACAGATCATCAATTGTGTTTGCATAACACTATGATTTTTCTTGTAAATGTATTTTCTTATGATGATTCTGCTTAAGTAATTCTTTGAATTATTCTCTAAGGCAATGGTCCGTATATTAAATGATGTATCTTCAATATACACACCCGTAAAAATTATCAAAGAAAAAAAAATTAAAATGAATTTTCAATCTCTTCAAGACAGGCAAGAGCTAATCGAAGAAATATTTGATGCACTTGAAGAGCTTATACTTGGGAGGCGAAATGGATCTACAGATGAAATAGAAGATTTACTTTCAAACATGAATAATAATTTCTTAACTACCGGACCAAATAATAAATTCTCAAACTTGCCAAGAACAACTAAGGAATGGAGTTCACTTTCTCCAGAAGAGAAAAATAAAATCCGCTCTCGACTTTTGGAATTATTGGAAGAAAAGAAAGCTCAGCTAACCATTGAAATCTCAAACCTAGATAGAATTGTTCAAGAAAATGCAGTTGAACGATGAATTGACGAATTACAAAAATTGCAAATAAAATAAAGGTCGTAAACCCCAATGTGTAGCTATGCATGAGAACATTCAAAGTAATGTAATACCAACTATATGTCGCCTTTTCAGCTGAGAGTATCATTTTGGCAATTTGGTTTTGAAAAGAAAAAAAAAATCCAAAAGAATATGATAACAAATTGCAAAGAAAGCAATATGCCATTGGCTTATTCGCTTGCGAACGTGAATATTAAATAAAAAAAAATAATTTACAAAACAATAGTATTTAATATAATTTTTCAACAATAACCGCATTTTTGTCAACATATCCGAACCTTCCAGAAGTATTTTCGCATGCGTATCCTTTTTCGTCTTCGTATTCAATAATCAGAAATTCACCTGGGAAAATTCCAAGTTTTCCATTTTCGTAAGCGAGCTGCTTCAAAGAAAGAGCTATCTTCTTGTTCAGAACCTTAATATTATTTCTTGGAACATAACCTTCTGGAAATGTCTTATTTGAAGAGGCCAAAACCCAGTTTTCTATTGGAGGCTCATAAAGGTATATTGTTTGGCCCTTGTAGCATGAGATTTCGTTTGGAGCGCTTGCAACAAAATTATTCAAAGCTTGTGCAATGAGAATTGGTGGTTCATACAAGCTTCCTGTTTGATATGATGGGATTCCTATGATCGGATCGATCTCAGGTTGCTTAAATTTGTATTGTTCGTACGAAACGTTTCCGATTGAAGTTCTTCTGATATCATGTGAAACAATGAATGTAATCAAGTCAGAAATAGGCATCTTTGGGATATCATCAAACGAGTTTCTCTTAAAAATGGATTCATTGACTTTTGCAATGACAATTGACATTTCGTCGTATAGCCTTGCAAGTTTGGTTGAAAATTCTAATATAACTTTGCACCTTTCCATATTAATTTGCCTCATTTCTTGTATTGATTCTTTAAATAATTTGACAAATCGTGCGTAAGCTATATTAAGCTTTTTGGCCAAGTATTTTTGAGACTTAACCGTAGCCATATAAGTTGCAACTTGCCCGTGTACTTTCAAAATATCTTTCTTATGAGACTTGACTTCTTTGCAAATGCTATTAATAGTTGAATCATTTGATTCCATTTGTCTTCTAATATCTCTCCATGCGTTCTCGGCTTCTTTTATGGTATAAGAAATTTTGTTCATGGTTGTGGTTGAAGTAATGATTGCACATTTAAACTTAGGAAGAAAATCGTTTTGAATGTGCTCGGCTAATAAAATGGCTTGGCCACACTGTTCGTTGATCATGTGATTAATTTGGTCAAGTTGCAAAACTTGTTGACCTGGGAAACCAGGGGTTAAGGCTTTTGCTTGTGTAAAAACTTTTCGGTATTTATCGATTTTCGATTGTAAGACAAGAGAACTCTGTGTTGCGAACCTTTGAAGTAATAAGCAGAAATTTCCGATAATCTGTGGACATTTTTTATGGTATTCAAGGAGAGCGCGTTCCTGCATGAATGACTTCTCAAATACGTTGACAACTATTTCAAAAACTTGATCTTGTAAGTTAAAGGAAGTCATTTTGAAAGAGTATGAAATTGAATAAAAATTGACAAAATCTTCAGAAAAATATATTATGTAATTATTAAAAGCTATGAGTATTTTATTATCAAATAAATTCAAAGAGCTGAATTTTTGAGAACTTCTGAAATTCGATTAACTGGTAACTGCGCTTTTTAACTTGAAAATTAAGATAAAGCTAAATACATGATATCGAATTCAAAACCTTTTTTCTAACCGATACAATTGAAATGTAAGCTTTACAAAATTTAATTGAAGTTGCAAAATGATTGATAACCATTCAATATCAGGTAATTTATTGGAATTTCGAAGAATATTTGAACCAAAGATTGTGGTATATGCATGTTGGAGGAAGCATCAATGATTATGTTGAGTTTTCGATGATTTCGATGAAAAATCTTCATTACCTTCAAAATTCGGTGAATCGACTGTTCCTATTAATGGAAAGTAGTTGATATTTACACTTGTATGTAAGTATATATGCGGCAGCTCCAACAGAGATAAGATATTTAACAATTTCAAGATGACATTTTTCTGCTGCCAAAATGAGCCGAGCATGCCAATTTATATCGTCTGTTTCTTTGTTAATACCAACAGTAATAAGTTATTTGACAATTTCGAAATTTGATACACAAATGAGCGGAGTTTTCCCATCATTTGACTTTGCTTCTTTATAGGCATCAATAGAGATAAGATATACAACAGCCTTTGTAACAATTTTCTGATGATAATAATAACAAATTTTGATACATTTCTAAATTTACCAGTTTCTGATGATACTAACTGCATTCCTGTTGGAAAATTACTAAAAATAAACCATAAATAGTAATGAATATTCAGAATTCGAGCAAACAATATTAATAAGATATATCATGGTTGATAATCATGATGTTAAAATTAAATGCGCTTTGTATTGGATTTACATAAGGGTAGTGAACAGGAAACAAATCGCAATGGTAACTTCTATATCATGAAACAAGCATTTTTATAAAAAAATGGAATCCTGGACGGAAAGTCAACGACATATTTCATGGTCTTTGCTTTCTTTTGCAAGAATGAGACTAAACTTGCCATTAGAAACCTGTACAGCATCAGCGTTTATGATGGTTCATAAATATTTCCTTCAAAATACACAGACTGAACATTCATTATTCATTATATTAGTAACAGCTTTGTTTTCAGCATGCAAAATGAACGAAACAGTGAGATCAATGCAGCAAGTGTACTCAGAAATACTTAATTGTTGCAGAGATTCAAAACGAAGAATTGGAGAACAAAGACTTATAGATAATCTAGGAAGAACAAAGTTCGAAGAAAGCAAACTAACTCAGGAAGAAATTGGCGAAATTAATACATGCGAATTAGACTTACTTGAAGCAGATAATTTTAATATGAAAATTGACTTGCCATTTCAGCATATTGATAAAAATGTGAGACCATACCTCAAAAAATATAATGCAGAATTACGGCAATCATTAAATAATAAACTTGTGAAAAACATTTGTATGTTTTTATGTTTCCACAAAACAGCTGCAATGCCAACATTGCTACTTGCAATAGTAGCTACCGAATCTGCGTTTGATGGAATAGAAATGCCACCAGAAACTCAAAATTGGATAAATGATAAGAAATCTGATTTTGAAATTAGCCAATACCAGTTAGCAACAGAACTATTAGCTAAACAAGCTGCAATACTCAACCCACAACAGCAGCAAAAGGCTCCCCAATAAAATAATTTCCTATTATCTCATATTTTGTATATTGAATAAATGTTTGTTTGTTTTAAATGACTGTTGTTAAATGCACGTTCATAGTTTAACATAATATTTTATTAATTCCAAACGAATGGTATAATATCTCAAGGAATAAAGGAAAGAAAATGGACAGGATCGTAGTATCATACAGCATACTACTCAAATAATCATGCTACGATGATCATTTTTTAAAAATATCTCATATCAAAATGATCATCTTTAATTGAGTTTCACATCAATATGAATTTCTCCATTAAAAGGGGCTCTATTATGTAAGATCAACCCATGATAGAAAATAGATAATGATGCATATCATTGATAAGATAAATTTGATCATGATTAAACCATCTATGTTTTAGATCAAATTAGTAAATTTTTCACCAGCAAAATCTATTGCAAGAACAAAGTTCATATGTTTGACTTTTTTCCCAAAGAACCATAAATTTTTGATCACAGACCCTGAAATTTTATTATTGAGAAATGGGATATCTTTTGGACTTTATTGTTAACAATGCAACTTTTACAGATGAATTGCCAATTCCAAAAGATCCCATTTATGCTATATTTCAAGCAGATGGACTCAATGAATCGATTGCAACGAAACCAATTCAACCACAGGAGAAAATAACATGGAACCATCCAGTTCGTGCTGTTTTGAATTTAGAATCTCTATCTCAAGCGCATATGTACGCTCAATTATGCACACTTCAAGAAAATCCACCAAATAAACCAAGTCCTTATCCAATCGGCTACGCCAGAATCAAATTGAAATCATTCCCTGTTGGAACTCCAGCAACATTCTCATTTCCATTACTAAATCCATCAAATACTGCAATTACAATTGCAACAATGTCAATGACTGCAAATATAACAGCTATGATTCCAGTAGTTGATACATCATCATTTGCTATGGGAATTCCAATTAATAGATAGATTATTAGCTTTCATTTTTTTGAAATTTCAGAAATATATGAAATTTCATTTTCATTTTGATTCCCCAATAAGAGACGTACGAACAAGAATAAGGCAAACGCTTCATTGTTTTACAAATAGATATTTCCATTTGAAGATGACCGAATTTTTGTTCTCCAAAAATTACGAATTTGTTATGTGTTTATTCATGACTTCTTCAGACTTTCTGAAATGTCCTTTTTTAATCCCGATTTCCTTTTAATTTAGAATTGAATTCGAAATGATCGTAAAAGTGCCAAAATGACGTTTATTGATAAGTTTGATGCTCCTTTCGGAGAGCTTCGAATTGTGAGCCGTGATAATTGCATTACTAACATCGATATTAAAAAGGCCGAAGTATCAACAGGAGATCCACCTCTTTGCGTTCGAGAGTGCAAATTACAGTTAGAAAAATATTTTAAGGGCGAATTAAAGGAATTTACGTTTAAAATATCTCCAGAAGGAACAGATTTTCAGAAAAGAGTTTGGTCTGGTCTCCAAGCCATTCCTTGGGGAAAAACAGAAACATATTCTGAGCTTGCTCAAAATATTGGATGCCCTCAAGGATACAGAGCTGCTGCTAATGCATGCGGTAAGAATCCAATACTAATTGTCATACCATGCCATCGCTGTTTAGCAAAAGATGGACTTGGTGGATTTTCTTGCGGAATTGAGAAAAAGAAATATCTTTTAGCACTAGAATCGAGTAACAAAAAATAAATTGTTTTGTTTTAAATACTTATTTAAAAAAAAACTTGAAACAAAGTATTTTTATTTTAGATCTTGAAAATTTAGTGTTGTTGTTATGATGTTCTTCGTCATAGCTTGATCCTGGGAATACAGATTCCCAGGAGATATTGACTTCCCTCCGACATATGACGCAAGTTGTGATGCTTCGTAATACAAATATTATTTTTGACATGAGGCGACCAATGTGATTATTGAATAGACTTTTACCGTCACTCTCAGCAAAGTCTAAAACAGCGATGTATACATAATTATAATTGTTCCATTTTAGAATCGCAATTGAATTTTAGTTTGACTGGTATGATGTGCATGATCAAATGTATTTTGACTTTATGAGATAAAATTTGAAATTTGAAAATGCGATATCTGATTCAAATATTCATTTGAACACATTTAAAATTCAATAGCAAACTAAAGTAATATACAGAATGGCACAATGTTCCGAAATCAAGTTCTGATTGCGGAACTTCGACCGACAAGAGTGTCATATGTACTCTTATTGGTCATAATATGCCATTCTGAGAGACATTGTCACTGCATAAAAATGCCTTACTTATAGCTATACTTGACTTTTAAAATTTAATTTTACATTTTTATCAATCTTTTGGCTTGGGGAAAGTACTCCTTGATAAAATGAAAGGGTATCACTCTCTAATTTGGGGAAATTTATCAAGGAGGCTTTTATTTTATGAAATAACAAAAAATTTTAGACTTTAAATAGTTAAATAAATCAAAATACAAATTTTACTGACCAGCTTGGGTGTAAATATCAGATGATTCTTTGAGTCTATTAATAATTGTATTTGTATCATCATCAAGCTGTATTTCATCAACTTTATCGATAAATTTGGCCCATGCCTCAAGGCTTCTTGCATAAAGTTCCATCTGGGCGTGAGCATAAGAAGAAAGAATTGTGATTAAATCACGATGAAGCTGATTTGCATATATAGCTGCTGCTTGAATAGCTTGTGTATTTGCTGTTTGGCAATTTGTTGTTGCAGAAGTTATTTGTGCTGCTGTTTTGGATGCTTGAGCTTTTGTTTGATTGTATTGACGTATTGCTTGTTCGCGCTTTTTGAGTAATTCCATACAAGTTTTAGCTAGCTCTAATGAAGACGTAAAAGCCATTGAAGCAAGTTGATGATCCCTCGAATACATCACTTTCCTTGCATATTCAACTTGAGATAAAGATGCAATGAATAGATTTAGTACTTCTTTGGCTTTTTCAAATTGAGGTTTGGAAATCTCGAAGAAATTATCTGTTAATTGTTCATTCAAAACACCAACTGATCTTTCCTTTTCAGCAATAACTGTAATTTCTTCTTTAACATATGCAGCAAATTTATTCATAACATCTATTGAGCTATAAATAAGCTGCCCACCAGGTTCCATCCATTTCGCGCACATTTTAAACGTTCACTTTTTCAATTTATCATTCATATCTTACGTATAGAACCGTTGTCCATTATTATGAAAAACTTCTCGTATAACATGTGGTCAATTAGTTAAAATCAAATGTTTTGAAATATCTTTGAGTGCCTTCGGGTAAGGATTCCAAGGTAGCTTTTGAATCTGATATATTATCTAAACCATTAATGATATGGTTTATATAAGCATGATTTATATGATTTAAATGATTCTGTTCTGACATTTGATATCTTTGTATCAATCACGTTAACTAACCCTTTCCATTCAACAATTTAACAGGTTGAATTTATATGGGAGACCAATAGCTTTTCTTCAATATTGTCAAAATTAGGAGTTGGACTTCCAAATTTGTCAGCATATACTTATTTGAGATCATGTATCTGATCCTTATTATATTTCATTAATATTTTTGATGGTTGGGAAAATGTGACACAATGTTGTATTTACTTACAGCATTCAGCAGGAGTATTGGAATTGAATACCATGAAGAAAAAGCTTTTCTCTCGTGGATGAGGAAATATAAGCAGATATATATAGGAGACGAATATTTTTTCAAATTAGGAATTTATTTGACTAACAAAAGATTTATTCAAGAGCATAATAGAGGTGAATATAGCTATAAACTAGGAGAAAACCAGTTTGCTGCCCTTTCTCCTTCAGAATATCAAACATTATTATCATCTGAAACAAAAGTTGAGAAAAAGACTAAAGGAAGGTCAGGTGAGTGGGGCTTCCAGGCGCGTTGCGCCCTCTAGCCCATAAGAAATTTTTCCCAAGACCCAAGAGGAGGACCGAACCCCAGCCGACCAGCCGGTGACAAAACCAAAACCGTTGTTATTTACATCATATTAATGGTGTCACTTTTTAAATGTCACTTTTTGTGTCGCTTTTCACAAATTATATATGTTTTCATGTTTTGTCACTTTTCTGTCACTTTTCGGGTAAAAACATTTTTATTATTATATATAAATGAATTTTACAAAACCGCTGTTACCGTTCTTTGGAAATAAGAGTAGATGTAAAGATATTATATTGAGAGAACTTAAGAAACTACCGAATGGTCTAACATTTGTAGATTTGTTCGGTGGAAGTTTCTATATATCCCATTTATGTCATACAATATTTCCTGACTCAAAGATTATATGCAATGACTTCGACAACTATATGGACCGTCTCAAACATATACCAGACACAAACAATATATTGAAAGAGTTAAAAGAAAAGATACCTATAGGTAAGATGGAACGTATACCATTAGATAAGAAAAATATTGTGAGAGAGGTTTTGAAAAAAGCAGAATATATAGACTGGGATAGTATATCTGCTAGACTATTATATAGTGGTTCTATAAGAGTTCATGACATTGAAACACTTATGTCAAAAGTTTTATATCTTAACTATACAAATGTTTTCAAAGAGGACATAGAAAAATATATTGAGGGTATAGAGTTTGTGAGATGTCATTGGACAGAGTTGTATGAAAAATATAAAGACAAGGAAAATGTTTTCTTTATAGTGGACCCGCCGTTCTATAACACATGGGATTTTCAATACCAAGTAGACTGGACTTTGAGAGACTCTTTAGAAACTTTAGACGTTATACATAACCATCCATGCTTTTACTTTACATCCGATAAAAGTGGTTTGGAAACCGTTATGAGATGGTTAGAGGACATACATGACTATGAGTTTATATATGACAAGATAGAATATGAGAGAGGTCCTATAAACTGGAGAAAGTGTCACAATAAAGAAATTTTATTAGTAAGTAAATGTGGTTTGAAATAGGACTACTTGTTTTAGTTTTTTTCCATTGTGTCATTTATTTATTTGACGTGGCAGAAAAGTACAGAGAATATGAAGATGAACCAATGCCTGCAAATGTTCAGCATATGTACTCGTAAGAGATATTTTTATCTAATATTAAATGGACGCACAGAACTTAGCGAATGCACAGCAACCTGGACAACCAAACCCAGAGAATATTCCAAATGAAGTTAGAATACAAACTGCAATGGCAAACTATGGTCAAGTGCCAACAGATGTACAAATGCAAACTGCCATGTCAAATGACGCTGCGTTAGGTTTGCCACCATGGTATGCAAATATGAGATGGAAAGAGTTTTATACAAACCCTGAAGTGGGATATAAACAACTTTATGCAGATGACGCGAACACAGGAGTTGACCCAGAATATGTTTTCTACCAGAGGAGAAACAGAATGTATGAGCTCCAGTTAAAGAATGCTATGGAACTCAACAGGAAACGTAAGAGACTAGGCGGACATTAGATTTTTACATATAGTAAAATGGTTTTCTTCAGTAAGATAGGAAACTTCTTTCGAAATGTTGGAAGAGGTATATGGAATGGAATAAAATCTGTCGGAAGAGGAGTATGGAATGGTGTCAAAAATATTGGTAAAAGAGTAGGTCAGTTTGTTGGTATTATACCTAAAGACCCTGAACCAGAAGAACAAGCTCCTGTAATACAACAGCCTGAACCTGCACCACAGTCAAGTTGGCAACCACAACCGGTATATTAAAAAGTTATATTTTTATCGTTCGATAGTAGTTGTATATGAAACTAAGTTCTAAGTAAAACGCATGGTATAATGGAATTATTCTTTTTCTTCCATCTGTAGTAAACCATACTTGAAAGTCTGAAATACTTCCACTCGGCGGTTCATATAACTTTGTAGGTTTTTCGTAAAAGTCATTCATCAGACATAAGAAAGAGTTTTGCGCACCAGAAAATGAAGCATGAACAATAATAGCATCTGGGTCGAAAATATTTTCATATGTTCCATTAGGTTTTTCGACTTCATAATAGTCCGGGTGTACTGGATATGCTGCAGGCTGATTTAACATCCTCATAAATCTATACCATGCCAAGTTGTTATATTTTGTAGAAATATAAACGTTTTCTCCAAGGTCTTCTATTTTATTGATTTTAACAGTTGCATTTTTCCTGTCATAAATAATATCGAGATGGTATTCTCCTTCGTCAATGTTAAACTGGTTTGCATATTCGATATAGATATCGTTTATTTTTTCTTGAAAAGCTTGAAGAGTTGTTTCTAAGTTTATAAGCAAATTAACTTGTAAAAGTTTTCCTTGTTCAAATTTCTCATACATACGTTTTTCTTTGTTATAGTATCGAACTTCAAAACCGACCGTAAATGGGAAACCATGTATGGCTTCTGAAATGAACTTCATTCTACGAAAGCAATAGCTTTTGTGACGGATGGGTCTCTTAACCATCTTAATGGGTAGTCAAAACGATAGCCTTCATGCTTTACGGTATCTGTCTCAAACTTTTGACCTACATTGGTAAAAAGTTCATCTAATGGTTTAGTTGTAGCAACTCTAGAATTTTCTTTTTCTATTGAAAGCATATTTTATCTAGAATAAAAATGTCAAATGAAACAGCGTCTATGAGAGAAATACAACACAACCGACAACTCATTATGCAAGCTCTAAATAAGAACACAACAAACTTTTCAAACTATGCTAAAATATCTGAGTCATTGAAAGAAGGAAACTTAAAACTGACATTAAACCCAATGACAGATGAGTTTCTGTTTCAAGACAATAAGAACCATACTGTTTGTATAAATCCAACAAAAGGAACTTTAAACGAGAAACCTATAAATGAACTTCTTTTGAAAGCAGATGTTGACAACAAAGCTGACAAAGAATATGTAGACGATGCAATAGCAAAAGAAGAAGAAAGAGCTAACAATGCTTATGCAACAAAAGAACATATTCATCCTGAACTAGCAGACAAAACATATGTTGACAATAAAATGTCAAGTGAAGTGACAAGAGCTGAAAACGAATATTCTAAAAAGACTCATATACATTATATTAACCAAATACCAAGTCTTAAGGAAACATTAGAGACAAAAGCAGATAAGACTCATACACATTCTATATCTGATATTACAAACTTACAAGAAACCTTAAACAGGAAAAGTGCCGTTGGACATACACATACCATTGCAAATATTACAAACTTACAAGAAACCTTAAACAGGAAAAGTGCCGTTGGACATACACATACCATTGCAAATATTACAAACTTACAAGAAACCTTAAACAGGAAAAGTGCCGTTGGACATACACATACCATTGCAAATATTACAAACTTACAAGAAACCTTAAACAGGAAAAGTGCCGTTGGACATACACATACCATTGCAAATATTACAAACTTACAAGAAACCTTAAACAGGAAAAGTGCCGTTGGACATACACATACCATTGCAAATATTACAAACTTACAAGAAACCTTAAACAGGAAAAGTGCCGTTGGACATACACATACCATTGCAAATATTACAAACTTACAAGAAACCTTAAACAGGAAAAGTGCCGTTGGACATACACATACATCTTCTGAAATAACAGACTTAAACGTTAGCCTTGAAAATAAAGCAGATAAAACATATGTCAATGAAATATACCAAAGTTTGATAGGAACAAAAAATATTGAAACTATTGTTGGTGACTTTTCTGTCAATGAAGAAAATAAATATTTTAGATGGCAGTTGGTACAGTCCTTAGAAAATGGTACACGGTGTAAACTCATTCCGAAAAATAACAATGAAATGTATGTAAGCTATAAAAAGAATAATGGTACACAAGTTAAAGTTCCATTAGACAACAACTGCTACTTAAACTTATATGGAGACGAACAAAAGAAATATTTAAGAGTTTATGAAATGGCAGATATGACATTGCCTGACCCAGCTCCAGCACCATATTATTATGACTATGGAGATGACGACAGAACACCACATGTAGATGAACAAAAGCTAACATTATATTTAGATTATTATAGATATAAAGATATAATGCAATCAAAGAAAAAACGAGAATAGTATATTATACAGATGACAGAAATAAATATTATAGTCAAGATTTTACCTACCCTGAAAACATAAGATATATTATAAAAAATATTCTGACACAAACCAGAAGAAACCTGAAATAGTTGCACTATATTTTAAGTTCAAAAGAGACAAATCCTATAATATCCATATGTTGATTAATGAACCCAGTATTCTATTTATACATCTATGGATGCAAGAGGTCCTCAAGTAATGTTTGGTGTTGGTGCATGGGAACAAATATTCGACAGGTTTTTGTTATTGTGCAAACTCTTCAAAGGAAACAGTGGAAGTAAAACGATTTCAGGTGAAAATTTACCTGCACACAGTCATTACATAGATTTAAGGACATCTCAAGCAGGTTGGCATAAGCATAGATATTGGGATTGGTCAGGAATGAAAGGTAAAGGATATGATGTTAAAGACCGACGTGTTTGCTATAAATTGTTACTGGGATGACACGCAGGGAGAAGGAAACCATACACATTTCGTTTCAGGATATACGCAAACAACGGGACAAAGTAAAGAATACATGCCACCTTACATGACAGTTTACGCATGGTATAGAATTGCTTAGTCGTCATTTTCAACTTCTTTAGCATATTCGTCAGGAGTTGTCTTATATTTGTTAGGAACTGTCTTTGAAAGTATACCACCTTGAACTTTGACAAGTTTGAAACGAGCGTCTGGCAATAGTAGTTTTATCTTCTGCTATTGCAGTGTGCACATTTTGCCATGTTTGCCTAAAACTTCATAATATTCTCTTGTATACTTTCTTCTATTTTTACGAACACGAATGTGAGTACCTGTCGGGTTCCCATTTTCATATGGGTCGCGTTTAGGTATTTCTATTTTTACTTTGTCACCTTTCTGAAGTTTGAAGCCCGGCATTCTTTCTTGTTTGTCTCTTTTGACTAAATTATTAAATATATAGTCTTTCTCTAAGTCAGGGTTGTTTTTCATTTCTTCGGGGAGTGGTTTCCAAACCTTTTGTTTACGGTTATTGTAAATTTAAAACTTGTCTCATCTTTGCCATGGAGAGTGTCTATATTTGTCGTCATATGACATTTCATTTGCTTCACCACCTTGTGGTTGGTTTAAGTCTCTTAACATTTTTATACAACCGTCAATGACACCAAGAGCAGAATGGTTTTGGTCGACAATGAAATATTGGTTTACATTTTTGAACGCAGATAGTTTTTAATATCATCTGATTTGAAAGAACTTTCACAGTCAGATGTCAGTTTTGTTGGATGGTATTTGTCAACGAATATTGTCAAAGCTGCTAAGATATCTAAAATAGCTTTGGACTGTAATGGTATGGCTTCACAGTATCTTGTGTTTTGACCAACAAATATTAACCAGTATGGTGGCCCATCTTCTCTATACCTCGGAATGTTTTCCAAGATATCCATAAACCAAGCATTTGGTGTTGAACTAAAGATTTTTATCATGAGTGCTTTCTTTGTCGCTTTAGAAACATAGGGGTCCTTGTTCGGATTCGTCATTTTTTACCCTATAAGAAATGGGTTTATTTGGCGCATTAGCAGGAGTTGCATCTAGATTTTTACCCGCAGTGGGAACAATAGCCAGAGGTGCATTTGGAATTGGAAGGAACAAGACTTATTAAAACTTTTTACTCTTTCTTTTCTGGGTTGTTTAGAGCTGGTTTCTCTTGTAGAAATCTTTCATACTCTTCCATGGTCATGTAATTGCGAATTTGGTACGCAATTCCAGGTTCGTTGTTTTTGAACCTTATGTATGTAACGCTTCCATCCTCCTCAGGGAAGTAACCTGCTAACATCTGACCAAGTTTTCTCGGTGACTCGGAGCTCATAAAAATGTCACTTTTTAAACGTTAAGTTTTTAGTCTTAATTTACCCTTTGTTTGTCAAGGTAGTATTGGAGTGCAATTTCTCCAAATTCTCTGTGTCGGAGTTCTTCAGCATTTTCCAAGGTGTACCTGGAGAACTCAAAGAAGTTGTCAAGAACATACTGCCATGCTGCTCTTCTGAGTTCGTCGGTATTTTGGAAGTGTTGCACCTTCGAGTCTTCGGACATGAAAAAAATGACACTTTTTCTATTAAACCGTTTTGGCATTTCTCATGAGTGAGTATAGTTCTGCCGAACCATTGGAAGAGAAGAAGTACCCTTGCTGGCAAAAGACAAAAATAGTTGCCTTAGTTGTCATTGCAATTGTACTCGTAATTGAATTCATTGTACTTCTCTTCACGTACATAAAACTCAGCAATGGTATTTGCTTTAAGAAGCTACCATCTTACTAAGACTAAACACTTAGATTTTTCAAGCTTGACTTTTTACAATTTGAACTTTGTTTGCGTAGATATGAATTCTGAAAGAAGTATGAGGGTCTTCTATGACTTTGTACTTCTCCCATAGTTCATGTCTGTCAAACTTACCTGCCATGGACTCTTTCATAAGTTCCATGAAATCGTCTTCGGACAATCCGGGGAAAGTATTATGTCAGTAAGTATTCTTTTAACATCCTTACTTAAACTCTTTGCTGTCTGTACACATATTACGACTGCAATGTTAAAGTGTCTGAGCTTCTTAAGAATTCGACACATATCTTGTTCTCTGTTCTTTAACAAAGGATGAGAAGCAAAGTCATCTAAGATAAGAAGACATCTATGAGGGTAAGTCTTCCAATCGTAAGATTGCAATTTCTTCGAAATGTATTCTATCTCTTTCTGTTTGTTTCTGAAGTGGTGTTTGTCTAATATTCTCTGCATTTCCTCATTAGGTTCTTTAAACTTAGAATTTATATACTCATTTATAGCATTATACTTCAAAACTCTTCTTTAGTACTTCTTTATCCAATCCAACAACTCAGAGTCTTTTATACATACTAACTTAGACTTCTTTATAATATCTTTGAACGAATTGACGGTTTGGTCAAATTGACCAGAAGTCGAACAAATGACTACTAACTCATAGAATGGGTTCTTCTCATCTAGTTCTTGTTGTTGTGCAGCCATTTTAAGATAAGTGAAAGTCTTACCCGACCCAGGTGGTGCAATTAGACCTGTTATACCATTCTGAGCAAATAAGAACTTTTCATGTATAGGTTTTATCTGAGCATTTTCTAACTTCCTCTTGTTCTTGTTTAAAACATTCTCAAATTTCTTGTCAATGTCAGCAAACTTTTTTCTAACATATTTTTAGAAAAATTAAAATTTTTATCTTTTAGAAAATGTCTAGCGAATTCGCTATCTATATTCGAGACAAACTTTTTGACAGCAAAACATCTGTCGACCATAAAATCTTACATAGTGTAAACAAGAAAGGTGAATTTGTTCTAAAGTTCTGTTTCTGGGAATATGACAAGAACCATAAAACATTAAGCAGAGCAGTCTTAAAATTTGTCAATGACAGACTTGTTGACAGAGATGACGCCGATTGGAAAGATGAAGTCCAACAAAAGTTCTTAGAATGCAAAGAAGACACATGCGGTGTTCTTGAAGATGAAATCGAAAACAGAATAGATGAGCTATTAAAGGACAAAGAACTTTTACATAGATATGGTTCTGAGAAATTTGACATATCTCCACCAGAGAAGAAGAAGAAAGAAAAGAAAGAGAAAAAAGTAGAAGAGAAGAAAGAACCTGAACCAGTTCCAGAGAAAAATAAATTTGACATGTAAAAATAAAATTTTATTTTTAGAACATTTCTGGGTCAATGTCAATGTTCTCTTCCTCTTTAGGAGCAAACACTGGCTTAGACTCTAAAATCTTTTTACCCAATTTACCTTGAACTTCTACAACTTTAGACTCATAATATTCATAGTCGTCTGTCTTCTTTGGTTCATAAGGTATAACAAGTTTGTATGCTTTGCCTTCTTTAAGGTTTGAGAACCTTCTGTCAAAACTTTCTTTGACTGTTAACAAACCTTCTATGTCTAAGTCTTCAAATTTCGCACCATTTTTAGTCACAATAGCAAACTTAACTGGTTCGATGTTCCAAACTTTGCTGAATGAAGACTTTTCAAAATGGTAGAAGTAAACATTCAAATATGTGAATGGGTCTAGTTCTTCTTTAAGTCCTGACATGTACTTGTTTACTGAGATGAATTTCGTCATCTTTTCTATCGGATAAAATTTTTTTTAAATTTACTCAGAAAAATTTTTCTTTGTATATACACCATTCTGAACATCTAAAAGACTTTTGACATTTGCCAAGAATGTACGTTTAGAAGCTGCCATATAACCATACTCTTGACAATATTGTTTATATTCATCATATAAAGACTTTTCATCTAAACACTCAAAGTCGCTTTCTTCTATGAACAGTTCATATACACTCTTGTTTGCTTCTAACAATGTTTGTCTCTCTTCGGTATGTGGAATTTGTCTTGGATTGAACTTAGAAATATCTAATGTCATGAAATATGAGAACAAGTGGTTGTAAAAGTCAGATGTCAAAGTTTCTGCTAAGTCGTCAAAATATTCTGTATCTTGCATATGAGAATCTGACGTTCTGACAACTACATATCTTCTGTCAGAACTTTCTAACTTCATCGGAACAGCATTGTTTGAAACCATAATGAAGTTTGCAACATTTTCACAAACTCTTTGGTCTTTATACTTTCTTTCAACAACTCCAACTTTGTCTGTTATAAGACTCTTCAAAGCATCTGAGTTCAAAACTTTTGTTGTATCTATACTTTGAAGTTCATTGCAAACTATAAGTTTCATATTCTCTATTGAGGAGTTAAACTTGCCACAGATGTTTTCTAAGTTTGTCATATTCGGATTCGAATAACCTTCTAACAGTTTGCACAAAATATCTGTAAAGAAAGTATTCTTACCTGTTCCTTGTTTTCCAATTATAATGAGAGCAGTTTCATTTTTAGCACTTGGATGTTGTAAGATGTTTGCAAACCAACATAAGATATACTCATAGACTCTTTCATTTCCATTGCATATAATTTCTTTGACATGGTCTAACCAAGCTTCTATAACATTTTCTTTCCATTCTACTTGTTCGTATTTATATCCAGTGAAGATAGAATAGAAGTTTGGAGAAGGTGTATAGAACTTTATACCTCGAACTGAAAAATCTTCTAACTTTGACAATAAGATATCCCAAGCATCTAACATCTTCATGCCAACTTGTACGACTTTTATTTTCTTAAGTTTCTGTCTACATTCTTGTTCTGAAACTATTATTGCTCTTGGTTTGTTAAAGACAACATCCCATTCTTTCATGACATAACATTCTGGGGCAGAGTCAACATAAATGACTAAACGTTTCAAATTCTCGACTGCTTTGTTATAGTCTCTAAATGGACACATATTTCTGAATGCTTGGAAGTCATAAAAATCTGAAACATCTATTCTGTACATTTTTATAAAAATAAAAAAAATATTATTTTTTTATTCTTGACTTTGTTGTTCCATTTGTTGCATTTGTTGTTCTTGAGCTATTTGTTGTTGAAGTTGTTCTTGTAATACAATACTTTCACCAGTTGCATCTTCCAATTCGAAACTTTCTGGAGTATATAAGAATTTCCGAAAAAGTGACACCCAAAAAGTGACACTTTCAATAGGGAGTAACACTTAAAAAGTGACAATTTAAAATTCACAATAAATAAAAATAATTAATTTTTTAGTCTATTAAATTATTCTTTTCTTTGAAATCCTCCAAAAATTCTTCGAAATGTTCTAAAATATAACCTGGAGAATTATAACAAAATTCATTAATTTCTAACATATACGTATCTAACAATTCATTTGGAATTTCAAACGATCTTAAATATGTAATTGAATTTTGTATCTTCTCATTTATTTGAGAAAGTTTTTCTTCAGCATTTTCCAATAAAAATCTTAATGGATTCAAATTGGCTTCTTGATTCTGAACAAAATTTAATACTTGGTATAAACGTGATTGAACTTCTCTTTTCAATTTTGTTTTATAATCTGTCAATCGAGGCTCGCGAATTCTAATTGAAGGAATAAAACCTGTTTGAAGTAAATCGTTTTTAATACGATAAAAGTAATTGGGTGCAACTTCTTCTAAAAGATTTTTGACAAAAACATCAATTCTTTGATTTTTAACGCAGCCAAAATCGTGATATTTTATCTTTTTAAATAAAGATTCAGAAACGTTATTCACAACGGTTAATTCATTTGGTCTGGCAGCGGCTATCCACTGTTGTTTATGAATGTTCCACTGACGTGTAAAGTATTGATTAAATTCCAATTGATCTTGAATTTTATCAATAATGTGCTCTTTATACATTTTTGCAGCATCTTCTTCTGTGCAATCACGATAATAACATAAAATGTTCATAAATTTTTCGACTTCTGATCTAATCTCTTCATCATTTATCTTTGAGAGATTCTTTTTAAGTGCGCGTATTACATGTAGCGCGCACCAAAAGATATTGCACTCCGGAAATGAATTCCTAATCCCGTTGAAAATGTTTAGTGCACAGTCAGACATGATAAATTCAGGTTCTATGTGAGTTGTTTCAAAATATTTACTTAAGCAAAAAGAAATATTTTCACTATTATCTGGATATATTATAAAATAACACAAAGGGATAGAATGAGTATTAGCAAATTTGGTAGCTAATACATAAAAAGGAAATCCATGAATAATTAATTTAAACGTAGAGTCTAAGTGATAAATTGGTGGTTTTTCATGAATTTGAGAGGTTATATCATTATCAGAGTAAATAAAAACCAATTTGTCTGGAAAATCAGTATCTTCACCTTGAATGTCAAAATAAATAAGGTCATCATGTTGATCTTCCCATTGATTAACATAGTTTTGTAAAGATTGAATTTGATTTAAAGATATGTCTGGTAAAGATCTCATAAGATCTTTTTGTTGTAAATAATATTTCAATTGATTGATTGCAGTTTGTTTCATAGTCATGTGAATACAAGTATGATCTTTAGGTATTTCAAGCGTTTTGTTGACTTCTTGTGTTGCATTAAGTGGACTTCCGTGATTCATGAGAAATTTTTTAATCCAAGCACGGTAAGTACCACTTGTAGGTGTATTTTTATGTTGTGGTGGTGGTCCTGAGTGAATATGAGTTAAGTTTGCAGATTTAAAAATGTAATTGTCGAAATTTTTAATAAATTTAAAGCCTGCTGGGCAGCCTTCGTATTTATAGATCTGCAATTTTCCCAAATGAACGGGTGGATAAGATCCCAGCCCTATCGTCGTCCCAGTGTCAATTTTACAAAAAAAATTCTTAATAAAAATTTTTATTAAAAAATTCTTATCTTTTTTCATTGAAATTTAAATAATAAAATAAATTTGGCTGTAAAAACCATCAATTATTATAATTCTTATCGAAACACATGTAGAAAAACACTTATCGTTTATACTCTTTCTATTTGAAACCTGTTTAGTTCAGTAATTAATAATAAAAATTGTGAAAATAGTGACTATTTAACTAAAAATATATTAAATGATGTAATAATGAGATATACATATATTTTTACGAATTATAATTAGAAATTATTTTGGTCTGGGAATCCCAACCCAAAATCATTGAAATTTTGAATATATGGGATGGGCTACCCATCCAAAACTATATTGAAATTTTTGAATTGATAATAAATGTATCTATATCTAAGGTATATTAGAGAATTTTTAAAAATTATGCATTAAAAAATTGAATTTATTCAAAACAAATTGAGAATAAAAATGCTTAAGTAATCACTTCATTATTTCAACAATGATTGATGCAGTACCGACGTACTATAAAGACATTGAGGTCGGTACTAAGCATCAGTATCTTAGATATAAAAAACCAGGCGACAAGTACGGAAAATATTATGTTAAATGCAATGAACTAGTAAAGCGTCCTGACGGAACTATATGCCACTGTGCAATGGAAGAAATGCGTGAGGATCATTTCAAAAAATGGATCCAAAACAAACGGCACATATGCACACCAGGAGAAGTAGCATCACAACAAACAATCGATCAATACTATCAAAACGTCCCAGCAACAGGGCTTACACCTATATCGTTAGGGGATATCTATGAACAGCTTGCTACATTTACTGGAAGATTTAACTTGGCTCTGAATACCTTCTCAAGCCCAGAGTTTACAAAGCTAGTTAAAACCATTATAATGTATACTGCAGACTCGATGATATTGAAGTTCCCACAGTTACACAATGTTAACATCAATGTTGATAAACTAGCTTCTCAAATATACCAGCCTATTTCAACTGACAAACTAAGGCAAACAATGATACAAATTGCAAATTCAATCCATGTTGCAAAAGTTGATGAGTTTGCTAAGCTTGCCTGTACCTGTGTTGCCATTGATGAGGGGAAGACTCAGCAGTTTCACAATCTGGACTTCTCCCTCACAAATCCTCTGCAAAGCAAGCGGCCCTATCCTGTTGAGTCAATCCAAATGAATGGTGGAACATCTGAAGATTATATCCACTCGCTTACTCAAGGATTTAACAGAATCTTCATTAGAGATGTTAAGATCAGCAGTGTAGTTTGCGATGGCAATAAAGCGCAATTGAAATGTTTTCAGAAAGGATGGAATCAATCGTTCTACAACTCAAATGACCCAAGGTTATTCAAAATCTTGTTTATCCCGTGTTTATGCCACAGGATTCATAATTGTTATCAATATATGACAACAAAAGACGTAGCATTAGGAGCAATTGTGAAACATATCCACGAAATATCAGCTCTTTGTAGAATCCATGTTGAAGACATCGGAGCTCTCTGTCCAAAGCATGTATCCACCAGGTGGATCTATGATTATAATATTTGTATGTTTATTATCAAGTATCAAGACAAAATTTCAAGATATACGCGTATTGATATTGAAAACATCAAGTTCTTAAGAGACTGCTTGGCAATTCTCAAGAAGCTTATTTCCACGTTCGAATCAGATAAAACCAAGATATCTGATTGCTACGTATGGCTTTGCAAGGGTATTGAAGCACTCCAATACCTTTCCAGCAGCAACAACAATCCTTTTGCTGGAATCCTTTCAAGATCGTTGTTGAACTATACCCTTGGATCGGACTTTGGAGGTCTTTGGTGCTTAGCCTTCGCTTTTACACCGAAAGGTAGGTATTATTTCAACCAAAAATTCGTCCACGGAGCGCAGATCAACGAATCTCCGGCAATTAATTCATTTGATATTACAAACGTAACTTTCGTTAATCCAGTAGAAGACATTCAATCTATCTATATGGACTCTATCTTTGAAGAAGGTTCGACTGAAGTTTCTCTTGATATGGTTGAGGAGGGATCAATTCGTCAGGTAACTGCTACAATTGACCCTCCTATGCTTGATCTCGCAGATGTAACATCTAGTTCAAATCAGCCGGTTAACCATTTTGTTGCAGCTAGGCAGTATCTCAAAAGTATTTTGGAACAATTTCGTATTCCGGGTCAAACAATAACAGATATTATTACACTATTTAACACGTATATTAATAGTGATAATGATATCTTCTCTGATGATATGATTCAAGAACGTCAAGAATACGGTTGGGAAGAAATCTCTCATAGAGATGGCAATGTATCAATCTTTGCAGATATCGCCCTTCGTGTTATCTCCGCTTCACCTTCAGAAGCAACATGCGAGAGAACAATAAAAGACCAAAGATTAAAAAAAAGGTAGTGGGGCTTCCAGGCGCGTTGCGCCCTCTAGCCCTGAAGATGTTTAGTATAAATGAAGTTTATATTCGGAGGGCTTCCAGGCGCGTTGCGCCCTCTAGCCCTGAAGATGTTTAGTATAAATGAAGTTTATATTCGGAGGGCTTCCAGGCGCGTTGCGCCCTCTAGCCCTGAAGATGTTTAGTATAAATGAAGTTTTTATTCGGAGGGCTTCCAGGCGCGTTGCGCCCTCTAGCCCATAAAAAATTTCTGAGGACGAGCCAGCCGTTGACTTTTTTGTAGAGCACTCAAAATAGTATAACTTTGTCCGGACAAGTAAGGGTCTATCGTCGCTACAGGAAAAGTTACAGGCGTTCCAAGGAAGTATACTTTGAGAAGCCTTTTCTCCTTATAGAATGAGATAGGACGGTTATTTTACAAAACTGACAACACTTTGACCGAGTAGTTTTTTGTGCTGAACAAATAGTGTCATATAAACATCTGTCAAAAACCGCTTTTTAACTTCACTTAAAATGCCACGTAAGCTACGTAAGAATATACGTAAGAGGAAGAGAGCATTGAAACATCCAATAGTAAAACTGACACCACAACAACAGTTGCAACAACAAATGATGAATGACCCCACTATGTTGCAACAAATGTCAAGCAACCCTATGCTTTTAAACCGAGTTATTGGTGCACAGAGTGGAGGTTTAAGAGCGGCACTTTTAGCGAAAATGGCAGGCTATGGTGGAGCTGCAGACGGAACAGCTTATAACCCTCAAAGTCAAATGAATTTGAGTTCACTCAAAAATCAAATAACAGATGTCAAAAAGTCAAACATAGACATACAGAAACAAATAAGTGAAAACGAAAAGAACTAGAATATGACAGACACACAAAGAAAACTAAATGAGTTAAACGTAGAGAAAAAGAAGAAAGAAGAACAACTGAAAGAACTAAGTACAGAGGAATATGCGAAAAAAGTGTCAGAAAAAGCAGCAGAAGTAGCAAAAATGGAACAAGATGTTATAAATTTGAAAAACCATACTACTCAATATAAAGTACTGAAAGATGAAGAAATAAAACAAAAAGCCCTGAAGACATATATGGATAGCGATGAGTATAAAAAAGAAGTTGAAGCAAATGTAAAGGCAGAAAAACTTTTACAGTTGCAAAACCAAACCGTACAGTATGAAAACTTAGCACAAGAAAGTAAAAATAACGACGCAGCCATGCAAAAGGCAATGAAAAGCGCAGAATATATAAAAGCTAATAATGACTGGTTAGATGCCCAAGCCAACGCTAAAGCAGCCCAACTTATAGGGTCAATAAGGACAAAAATACAAGCGGATGAAGACAGTTCAAATGAAGCTTTAATGAATGCTGACTTTAAGAATGCCTTCGAAGCTCTTCATAGTAAGGTGAAACTAGTGAACGACTTCTCATCTGGAAAGAAACTGAAGTCTGAAGGTTTCGACAAAGAGTTAAGAGAAGTAGCACAAAATATGACGAAAATAACAGATGCAGCAACGAGACAGGCAGTTCAAAGTGCCTATGACGCCGTTAGAGCAACTGTTGTGGAAAGTCAAGAAAAAGAGTTACAACAGACCAAAACAGACCTAGTAAATGCTTTCTTAAAAACGAAAAGTCAGGTAGGACATTATGCTGCAGATGGAACATATGTGCCAGCTGGTGGAACTTATATACCACCAAACCCTCCAAGAGAAGCACCTGCACCAGGACTACCTAAAACATTTACATCGTCACATGGACACAGACACAGGCATGCACCAAAACCAACACAACAACCAACAGTTCAAAATCCAGCACAACAACAACAACCAAAACCAACAGTTCAAAACCCTGCACAACAACAACAACCACAAACAGAGCAAGGACATAAAAGAAGTAGAGAAAAAGGAAACCAAGAATTCTTAAAAATGCTTAAGGAAGATTATGGTTACCCAGATACTCTTGACTTTAGTGACAGATATAAAGAAGCTATTAGAAAGTTCAAGGAAGGAAATACTGACCCGAACCTATTTAGCTTTATGGTTCAGCATCAAATGGGATATAATTTCAAACCTGGAAAATACAAGCTCGCTAAGGGATATGATTTAATAGCATATCATCCAAATGACATGGATGAATTTACTCCGAGATATTTGATGTCAGAGCTAAATGATAATTCAACTCTCTTCATGAAACGCGTAAAAAATAGAGACGGAACGAAAGAAGAAAGGTTTATGAGTCCGGATGACTTAGATAGGGAACTTTTTAAAAACGGTCTCGGAATATATGAAATGCCACCAGATGAGGTACAAGAAACTCAACAGGAAGAAGTTCAGATACAACCAGACATGGAAGAAATAGTTCAGCAACAACAGCTAGAAGAGCCTGAAGAAACGAACAAGTTCCTCCTTTGGAAACTAACTTCACAGAACTAGATGAAGATTTGGAACAGCCGAAAAATCTTGACCCTCAACAAGACTATGAGGTGAATATGGAATCTTTCCAAGAGTCTAAGAAAAATTCGGCTGACAGAGTAGAAGAATATCGAAAAATGTTCACCGACATACAAAAGACCAACATCAGATGAAAATATTCAGCATAGAATGGAAGTACTGAAAGAAAATGTACGCAAATACAATAATCCTTTTTACTTACGACCATATAACGTTCAAATCTTTGGCTGAACTCGGTGAAAATAAAAGGTTAAATTTCAACAAAACATATAGAAATGAAACATTGTTTAAAGTTTCATTCAGAACCTAACCAATATGGAAACAAACCTACTTTTGTTTCTGCAGACTATGGAACTACAATGAGAATGGGGTCATAAAGCTAATCCGGATAGGTGGTTCATAAACTTACAACCCCAATTCCAAGAAGTTGTAGACGCAATGGAAGTGAATGGTGAACCAGATATAGCTGGTATTTTCAGCGCGGCTTTAATGCCATTGAAAGATATGAAGATGCAGATATTTTGGACCAGTATGAAATGAACATGGCCGAGGGAAATATAACACCTGACGTTCTAGAACATTTATCTCAAAGAACTACACAGAACCATAGAGATGGTATATTTGGTGAAGAGTTTAGAAAGAAAGTTAGGGAGAGAGAAGGAAGAGAACCTATTGTACATGACCTTGCAAAACGAAAGTTTGCAAAATGTCATAAAAACTTACTTTGCAGACAATGAACGAGAATGGATGAATATTTAAGAAAACTCAAATGGACAGTACCAAATGAAATGTTAGTATTGAAAAACATGTTCCTTGACAAAATAAAACCAACTACAGAAATAAATGACGCAAGACTGAAACATTGGGTAAAAGCTTTCCCATTCACAAAAGATATTATTGGTAACATGGAAAGAAAACCAGAATGGCTACAAAAAACATATATTTGGAAACGAGCTTATTCCATATGGACAAGCTCTGTTTGAAGAGCTTGAACCGGAAACTCAGGAAAGAGTCATGCAAACAATACGCGAAGACTCAAATACAAACTATGACAAAATCTTTCTAGGATATAGGTTACCTGAGATGGGCTACCAGAGCCCAAAGGCAAAAAGGACATGGGAAATTTACAACATACTAGGTGAACATGAGGCAAAGATGCAACAACTTGAAGCAGAGGGCAAGTTACCAAAAGCGACACCAAAGAAGAAGAGAAGAGTAGAACAAAGTGAAAGTAGTGAAGAAGTAACTTCATCTAGTGAAAGTAGTGGCAATGAAGGAAAAAGAAGAGTTAAAGATTCAGTTAAAAACTCAGTCAGGAAGAAAGTAAAGCTTGGTACGAGTGGGTTCTATTATGACACATAAATCCAACTATTCTATATTTTTACCCATATGAAATGTACGCCGCTCAGAATATAACGCCAACAGTTTTGGATGCCATGAACGGAAATGTTTCCGAATGGTATAACGAATGCGACAATGCCATTAGAAGGTCAGAAATAGTTCCTGGAACTTACGAATATACAACTGCTGTTTCTTATGGAAACGTAGGTGAGTTTGGAGAAGGTTCTTCAACAACAGTAGATATTGCTTGTGACAGGTTTCATATTATTTCTATTGACAACTCATTCTTATACGTGGAACAAGACATTGAAATAAAACCTTCTGCCAAGTTGTCTGACAAGAAAGGTTGCAATGGAATTTTCTATGTCGGATACCAATATGCTCCAGAAGTTTTCATGGGATATAAGATATATTCTAACTCTGACTTAGTTCAAACAGTAACATGGGCAAACTATGAATGGTTCGCTTTGAGAAACTCAGTACAACCACAAGCTAGAGAACAAACAGACCAGTATGCAAATATTGAGAAAATAAGAAGACTTGACCCTAACGTTCCAGGAGTTTATGTTAACCTTTCTGGTTCAGATGGAAATGCTGCCACTAAAGTAAAACTGAAACTTAGAGTTCCTTTGTCATCTTTCCTCATCTTCAGGTTTTTAAGATACTTGCCAAACTGGGCAGGAAAAATTTCTATCGAACTTACTCCAAGCAAAAATAACTTAGTCATTGCACCAACGCAAGACCCATTCACTCTTACAGACGTAAAGGGAACAAATAAAACATCATTCGCCGAATTTTGCAAAGACAAAGTTGACTTAGACTTTGGTTTCTCAAACTTCAACAATGAAGTAAACTATTATTTCAATGCTGCTGGAACTGCTTGGGACCCAGTTAAGTTCACATGCGAACAGTTTGAATGCAAGAGAATAGAAAGCAGACTTGCAGTCTATATGTTGGACCCAGATATTTCAAATGCTTTAGCTGCCAAATATATTGCAGTTCCACTTATGTTCCCTATACACCAAATATCTGTCAAAGACTTTGCAGGTGAAGTTGGAAACCAAAGTGCTGACCCAGGTGCAAGAACAGATATTGCTTTAACAACTGCAATGAAACATGCAGATACTATGTTTGTACTGTTCAGACGAACTATAAATGACTATTCTTGTTTCTACAACCCTGGTATTAAATATCATATAAACATAGATGGCAAATATTATCCAAGAGAAGAATATTCTACAGTTGAGGATATGAGGTCATACAACTTGACATTAGATGCTATGAACTTTAACAACAACTTCACAACAACCATTAACCCTGAAATGCAAAGTTCTATTATGCCATATGTGAAAGTATGGACTCATACAGGAGGTCAAAAAACTCAATATACAAATGGAGACCGTTCAAACTTTTGGCTTGGCATTCCATTTGCTGACTCAGAAGACTTTATGGGTGGTATTTCAACTGTTGGTACAGTTCAAATACAATATACTGGTGACAGAGACGGTCCAGATGAATTGAAAGCAAAGAAGTTTACAAAACCAATAGCACTTTTCACGGAAGATGCTCTTTTGAAGATTCGTTCGATGAAACCTGCTGGGGGCTCCTCAGATTGGCATAACGACAGCTTCCATCGAGCAGATTTTGGCAGCAGGTCAGTAAGTTGTTCTTGAACTGACTTCTCTCCGTCAAATATTGACAGTACGCCAGTTTTGACATAATATTGTATTATAAACTTTCCTTTAGTAATATCGGTCAGTTTTGAAGTTATATTTTTGTCTGCTTCAAGAACTTTCACCATTTCAGTTATACCAACTTTCTTTGCTTTATGAAAATATTTAGGTTCAGCAAAGACTGCTATTCTATAACATTTTCCATTGTTTGTGTAAAGAACTATTCTGTCAATGTATTTGTATTGTTTTGTGAGTATAAAACTTTGTTTCTGATTCAATTCAATAAGATATCCGAATACGTCCATCTTTTTATTCTAAGTAAAATGTCATTTCCGAAAAATAGAAGCGTAAGTGTTTCAAAAGGTTTAATGGCGGTGGCAGATGTGAAGTTAAATTCACCAACTCAAACAAACAGTCAAAGTGTTGTTGTCAATGTCAAAGACAGAGATGTTGAAGTGGGGAAACCATACGAAGACGAAGATGGTATAACAATTGTTCCTGTAAAAGAACCAACATATCCTGAAGTTAACAGAGACTTAAGTTCTGTTGCAGATATTCGAAACGACTACCAACAACTGAAAGACAAACTTCAAACTCAGGAGAAGATTTGTCAAGCTTTAAGTATAATGTTAAACTTGGTCGAACACAACCCTGTAAAAGTGAACTCATATGTCATTGCACCTCATGAAGTTTTGAAAGAACTATTGAAACTTTTGAACAGAGGCAGACAATATAAACATCAAAGAAATAGAACCCGACATTAGTTGCTGTGGTGTTTCATATAATGTCATTGACAAGATATACGTTATGAAAGGAGGTGAACGTTGAACTTAAAGTATAGTTTCCCAGACGTTATAAAAAATATTTGACGACCACAACATTTCATTAAAGTTTATTTGCTAAGTAAATGGCAGAAGACATAATGGTTTATACTATTACGACTAAAAACCCTGAGTCATATAATTCTATAACAACAAACTTACAAAGTCCTCAAGGACGATATTGTAAAACTAACCTTAAACACAATGACGACTAAAGCCTGTTTTGCTCTTTTGACACCAGAAGACTTTATTGTTGTGAATGGTAAAAAATACTCCTTTGAAGATACTTACTCAGATATACCACCACAGGTTTTGTTGACTTATTTAATACTTTAAGTACGGGTGTCACATGTGCTGCAACTAGAGCAGGTTTCATTATGTTTGGATGTCCGACTGAGTTTACTATTAATGATATGAGCTATAATACAAAACTTATTTCTGGTTTTTACTACAACAGTTTCCTATAACAGGAAAAGGTGTCATACAAGGAATGTCTATTCCATTGACATTAAGCACACAATCTTATATATTGTTTCAAACTTAGGTTCAAAGTGTTATTCGAATGTCGACAGAAACTATTATGACCAAAAGATACTTATGCGTATAAACAATACTTTCTCTGCTGGTTTGCCTATTGTTCATTCGAATGCAGAATTTTCAACCTTAGTGAACTCAAACACTTTGGCAAGTATAACGTTGACATTAGTTGACGCAAACTTTGTTCCTGTAAAACTTTATGTCCTATGTATTTGTCAATGACGGCAGAAAGTTTCGAATTGGAAGATGCAACTGGTGAAAGTATTGTATTACAAGAACAACTTCAACAACAAATAGCTCAGAACAAAACAAATGCAACAAATGGAACAACAAAGTCAAGAATAAAAAAATAATATTTTTTTTATTTTTATAAAAATGTACAGAATAGATGTTTCAGATTTTTATGACTTCCAAGCATTCAGAAATATGTGTCCATTTCGAGACTATAACAAAGCAGTCGAGAATTTGAAACGTTTAGTCATTTATGTCGACTCTGCCCCAGAATGTTATGTTATGAAAGAATGGGATGTAGTCTTTAACAAACCTAAAGCGACAATAGTTTCAGAACAAGAATGTAGACAGAAACTTAAGAAAATAAAAGTCGTACAAGTTGGCATGAAGATGTTAGATGCTTGGGATATCTTATTGTCAAAACTTGAAGATTTTTCAGTTCGTGGTATAAAGTTTTATACACCTTCTCCAAACTTCTATTCTATCTTCACTGGATATAAATACGAACAAGTAGAATGGAAAGAAAATGTTATAGAAGCTTGGTTAGACCATGTCAAAGAAATTATATGCAATGGAAACGAAAAGGTTTATGAGTATATCTTATGTTGGTTTGCAAACATCTTACAACATCCAAGTGCTAAAAATGAAACTGCTCTCATTATAATTGGAAAACAAGGAACAGGTAAGAACACATTCTTTACAGATATCTTGTGCAAACTGTTAGAAGGTTATTCGAATCCGAATATGACAAACTTAGAAAACATCTGCGGTAAATTTAACTCTTCTATTGAGAATATGAAACTTATAGTTTGCAATGAACTTCAAAGTATAGATACAACAAAAGTTTTGAACTCAGATGCTTTGAAGAGTCTTATAACAGACAAAGTTGGAGTTGTTGAAAGAAAGTATAAAGACCAAAGAGTTTGTGAAAATGTTGCAAACTTCATTATGGTTTCAAACAATGCTGTTCCGATGAAGTTAGAAAGTTCTGACAGAAGATATGTAGTTGTCAGAACGTCAGATTCTCATATGCAAGATACAGAATATTTTGACGACTTAGCAGAAACTTTGACATCTGACTTTTACAACCACTTGTTCTCATATTTCATGACATTAGATATTTCTAAGTTCAATCCAAGACAAATTCCACATACCGAAGAGAGACAAACATTGTTAGAAGCAAACAAGAGTGTATATGAACTGTTCATAGAAGAAAGCGACTTTGAGTGTTTAGATGAAAAGTCATTGTACGATTCGTATAAACAATATTGTCAAGAATATGGTTATATGGCAGCGTCTAAACGTACATTCTTGGCAAATGTCAAAAGTCTTTTAGATGTTCAGAATGGTGTATATACAAAGAAAAATTTTTCTGAGTAAATTTTATAAAAAAAATATTTTTTTATCCGATAGAAAAGATGACGAAATTCATCTCAGTAAACAAGTACATGTCAGGACTTAAAGAAGAACTAGACCCATTCACATATTTGAATGTTTACTTCTACCATTTTGAAAAGTCTTCATTCAGCAAAGTTTGGAACATCGAACCAGTTAAGTTTGCTATTGTGACTAAAAATGGTGCGAAATTTGAAGACTTAGACATAGAAGGTTTGTTAACAGTCAAAGAAAGTTTTGACAGAAGGTTCTCAAACCTTAAAGAAGGCAAAGCATACAAACTTGTTATACCTTATGAACCAAAGAAGACAGACGACTATGAATATTATGAGTCTAAAGTTGTAGAAGTTCAAGGTAAATTGGGTAAAAAGATTTTAGAGTCTAAGCCAGTGTTTGCTCCTAAAGAGGAAGAGAACATTGACATTGACCCAGAAATGTTCTAAAAATAAAATTTTATTTTTACATGTCAAATTTATTTTTCTCTGGAACTGGTTCAGGTTCTTTCTTCTCTTCTACTTTTTTCTCTTTCTTTTCTTTCTTCTTCTTCTCTGGTGGAGATATGTCAAATTTCTCAGAACCATATCTATGTAAAAGTTCTTTGTCCTTTAATAGCTCATCTATTCTGTTTTCGATTTCATCTTCAAGAACACCGCATGTGTCTTCTTTGCATTCTAAGAACTTTTGTTGGACTTCATCTTTCCAATCGGCGTCATCTCTGTCAACAAGTCTGTCATTGACAAATTTTAAGACTGCTCTGCTTAATGTTTTATGGTTCTTGTCATATTCCCAGAAACAGAACTTTAGAACAAATTCACCTTTCTTGTTTACACTATGTAAGATTTTATGGTCGACAGATGTTTTGCTGTCAAAAGTTTGTCTCGAATATAGATAGCGAATTCGCTAGACATTTTCTAAAAGATAAAAATTTTAATTTTTCTAAAAATATGTTAGAAAAAAAGTTTGCTGACATTGACAAGAAATTTGAGAATGTTTTAAACAAGAACAAGAGGAAGTTAGAAAATGCTCAGATAAAACCTATACATGAAAAGTTCTTATTTGCTCAGAATGGTATAACAGGTCTAATTGCACCACCTGGGTCTGGTAAGACTTTCACTTATCTTAAAATGGCTGCACAACAACAAGAACTAGATGAGAAGAACCCATTCTATGAGTTAGTTGTTATTTGTAGTACTTCTGGTCAATTTGACCAAACCGTCAATTCGTTCAAAGATATTATAAAGAAGTCTAAGTTAGTATGTATAAAGGATACTGAGTTGTTAGATTGGATAAAGAAGTACCAAAGAAGAGTTTTGAAGTATAATGCTATAAATGAGTATGTCAATTCGAAGTTTAAAGACCCAAATGAGGAAATGCAGAGAATATTAGAGAAGAAACACTTCAGAAACAAACAGAAAGAGATAGAATACATTTCGAAGAAATTGCAATCTTACGATTGGAAGACTTACCCTCATAGATGTCTTCTTATCTTAGATGATTTCGCCTCTCATCCTTTGTTAAAGAATAGAGAACAAGATATGTGTCGAATTCTTAAGAAGCTCAGACACTTTAACATCTCAGTTGTCATTTGTGTACAGACAGCAAAGAGTTTAAGTAAGGATGTTAAAAGAATACTTACTGAATAATACTTTTCCCCGGATTGTCCGAAGACGATTTCATGGAACTTATGAAAGAGTCCATGGCAGGTAAGTTTGACAGACATGAACTATGGGAGAAGTACAAAGTCATACAAGACCCTCATACTTCTTTCAGAATTCATATCTACGCAAACAAAGTTCAAATTGTAAAAAGTCAAGCTTGAAAAATAAATGGGTTCATCTACCCTACTTGTTTGAAGTTGTCAAAATACTCTGTTATTTTTTCCTTCAGTAGCGGTAAGTCTTCTTTGAAGGTAAGTATTGTACAACCTTTCATATCATAGTGTGTTTGAGGTAACGTATCTTGAACTATTTGTTTCACATCTTCATTTGGGGTCATTGAAATCGGTAAGTTTTCGCGATAGAACCAATTTCTGTCAGATTTGTAAATCTTAGCAAGGTCGTAAAAGCTTTTGTTGTTTCTTCTGACTAAATGCAACATAACCATATCTTTATCTTCTTCATTTTCCAACTCTTCAGTATAAATCATATACTTATAGTTCTTTTCCTTTCCTTTTGGTACCGAACGTGGTATTCTTTTCTGAATGCTTTTGTCTTTTGCTTCAAGCTTGTTTTCCATCTCTTCACGTTCTTGTCTATGAATTTCGTCAAGAAGTCTGTAAATATACCAAGCATAACGAGGCGAAGCCCACATTGCAACAGCATTTACAAGAAGTCTATGTACATAATATCCTCTCAAACCGTTTGGCAATTTTTCACGATTTTCATAGAGTTTTGGCGACTGCGGTTTTTTACTTACTCGCTGTTCTTCACTGTTTTCAGAAAAAAGTATGTCTCGCTGTGCTTCGCTCAAAAGTTCTTGTGTGCTTTGGTTCCTAAACCAGTCTTGTGGTTTCTTAGTATCTGGAGCAAAACATGCTGTCAAAATACTTTGCATTTGGTACATATCGTCTTTGACCGAACGAATGAGACGGAGTTGTTTGTTAAACTGTATGTACTCGTATTCTTCATTTATAGCTTCATGGACTATAACTGTTGTTGTGTTCTCTGTTGTTGACATATCTGTCTTTACATACAAAATAAAAAAATAAATAAAAATATAACTAACTTTATTTTTTCTATCTTAAGGAAATTCATGATTTTCATAGAGTTTTGGCGACTGCGGTTTTTTACCTACTCGCTGTTCTTCACTGTTTTCCGAGGGAAGCAAGCATATGAGGAAATTCATGAAATTTGGTCATTTTTCAATAAAAATATATTTTATGTGAAGCCCACATTGCTACAGCATTTACAAGAAGTCTATGTACATAATATCCTCTCAAACCGTTTGGCAATTTTTCACGATTTTCATACGGAATCTCTTCTCTCGGTTTTCCGAGGGAAGCAAGCATATGAGGAAATTCATGAAATTTGGTCATTTTTCATCAAAAATAATGTTTAGGTGAAGAGGTGAGATTTCACCTGTTTTTTCACCTAATTTTTCACCTCAGTTATTTTATAAGCGTTTTACATGGTAAACGTTATTTTTACATTATGACACGAAGTGAAGATTTGCACTTCGTCAAATTTTATAAAAAATTAGCGTTATTTTTACATTATGACACGAAGTGAAGATTTGCACTTCGTCAAATTTTATAAAAAATTAGCGTTATTTTTACATTATGACACGAAGTGAAGATTTATACTTCGTCAAATTTTATAAAAAATTAGCGTTATTTTTACATTATGACACGAAGTGAAGATTTGCACTTCGTCAAATTTTATAAAAAATTAGCGTTATTTTTACATTATGACACGAAGTGAAGATTTGCACTTCGTCAAATTTTATAAAAAATTAGCGTTATTTTTACATTATGACACGAAGTGAAGATTTGCACTTCGTCAAATTTTATAAAAAATTAGCGTTATTTTTACATTATGACACGAAGTGAAGATTTGCACTTCGTCAAATTTTATAAAAAATTAGCGTTATTTTTACATTATGACACGAAGTGAAGATTTGCACTTCGTCAAATTTTATAAAAAATTAGCGTTATTTTTACATTATGACACGAAGTGAAGATTTGCACTTCGTCAAATTTTATAAAAAATTAGCGTTATTTTTACATTATGACACGAAGTGAAGATTTGCACTTCGTCAAATTTTATAAAAAATTAGCGTTATTTTTACATTATGACACGAAGTGAAGATTTATACTTCGTCAAATTTTATAAAAAATTAGCGTTATTTTTACATTATGACACGAAGTGAAGATTTATACTTCGTCAAATTTTATAAAAAATTAGCGTTATTTTTACATTATGACACGAAGTGAAGATTTGCACTTCGTCAAATTTTATAAAAAATTAGCGTTATTTTTACATTATGACACGAAGTGAAGATTTGCACTTCGTCAAATTTTATAAAAAATTAGCGTTATTTTTACATTATGACACGAAGTGAAGATTTGCACTTCGTCAAATTTTATAAAAAATTAGCGTTATTTTTACATTATGACACGAAGTGAAGATTTGCACTTCGTCAAATTTTATAAAAAATTAGCGTTATTTTTACATTATGACACGAAGTGAAGATTTGCACTTCGTCAAATTTTATAAAAAATTAGCGTTATTTTTACATTATGACACGAAGTGAAGATTTGCACTTCGTCAAATTTTATAAAAAATTAGCGTTATTTTTACATTATGACACGAAGTGAAGATTTATACTTCGTCAAATTTTATAAAAAATTAGCGTTATTTTTACATTATGACACGAAGTGAAGATTTGCACTTCGTCAAATTTTATAAAAAATTAGCGTTATTTTTACATTATGACACGAAGTGAAGATTTATACTTCGTCAAATTTTATAAAAAATTAGCGTTATTTTTACATTATGACACGAAGTGAAGATTTGCACTTCGTCAAATTTTATAAAAAATTAGCGTTATTTTTACATTATGACACGAAGTGAAGATTTGCACTTCGTCAAATTTTATAAAAAATTAGCGTTATTTTTACATTATGACACGAAGTGAAGATTTGCACTTCGTCAAATTTTATAAAAAATTAGCGTTATTTTTACATTATGACACGAAGTGAAGATTTGCACTTCGTCAAATTTTATAAAAAATTCGCGTTATTTTTGGAATTTTGTGAAAACTCAACGGTTTGACACATGCCATATGCCATTTTACTCAGAATTTTGTGCTGAATTCAGCAAAAATAATGTTTATGTTAACATGTTAGATCTAACACGTTTTCTAACATCTTTTCTAACATAACTATTTACAAGCGTTTTACATGGTATATGTTGCGATGGTTCATGACTTTAAACAGTTTTGTAGCTTCTATTTCTTCTTTTAGTACATCGAATGTTTTAACTATGCCGAAGGTTTCTTTATACTTCTTCTTGACGTCAGATAATAGGAAATCGTCAGCAGTTGGATAGTTTTTGTTCAGAAATGCTAACATGTCCATTTTATCTTCTGCTGGCTTTTCTGCTTCTTTCTTTAAGTCTGCATAGTCGTTTCTCATTCTTTCTATCTCTTTGACGGAGTAGTTATATTTCCTAATTGCTGCCTTACATTTTGAACATTGCGGGTTCATTTTTGCGTTATACATTGAAATAAAACCAGCTAAAACAACTAAAGCGTCAATTGCTCTCTTCATCTCAAACATAGCGGGTCTTATTTGTTTGTTCCATACTTTGCCTCTTCTATCTTTATCTCTTATTTCCCAAACACATTCAGCAACTAACGAAACAAAGTTGTCGTAGGTCTTAAATTCTTCAGATTTATATATGTCAGAAATATTTTTATAAACCATGTCGCAATCTTTGTCCATAACTTTATGGTTGCAATGAAAACCAAGGAATTCATAATTTACTTTACGTATGAATTTCTTAATTTCTACTGAGTCAGTTGGTTTCACTTCAATTTCGTCGAATTCAGGAATAGTGAGTTTTTGTTGTTGGATTTCAGGTAGTTTAGGCAAATGGTCAATAATGTCCTGCATTTCATAAAGATATTCTTCATTTGTTTCATCTTTCGCACTACAGTCTAAATTACTTGTTAAAAGTTCTTGCTTTATCTTCTGGATTTCTGTTTCAAAAGTATATGAAGAAGGAATGAAGCTTTTCATTTCTACTAACATAGATGTTGGATTCATGACTAACGAGTTTGGTGCTGTTGTTTGAATTGTTGTTGTGCCGATTGTTGAAATCATATCTTTTATACAAAATAAAAAAATAAATAAAAATAAAACTAACTTTATTTTTTCTATCTTAAGGAAATTCATGAAAATTCACGAGGGTAGAAATGAGGTTAGAAATGAGGTTAGATCTAACCATCTACCCGACATTCTCGTCAAATACAAAAAAATGAAGAATAACTTTCACTTTTTCATTATATAACTGTTATTTTTGACGAAGTGAAGATTTACACTTCGTCAAAAAAATCCCTGAAATCATATCTTTTATACAAAATAAAAAAATAAATAAAAATAAAACTAACTTTATTTTTTCTATCTTAAGGAAATTCATGAAAATTCACGAGGGTAGAAATGAGGTTAGAAATGAGGTTAGATCTAACCTCTTCACCTAAATTATATTTTTGGTGTAAATTTCATTGACTGACTGACTGACTGACGGCACAAAGTGGCTTAGCGAAAACATTAATATATAAAATTCATGAAAATTCAAGAGGGTGAAAAAACAGGTGAAAAAAGAGGTGAAATCTCACCTCTTCACCTAAATTATATTTTTGGTCCGGGAACAACTTTCTCTCAATTGGAGCTGTAGCATATTCTTTGCGTAAACGGTTCAGACCTTCTTCGAAGTCTTGGTCTCTCTTCGATTGAGATTGGAATTGGAATTGCTGGGGTGGAGCTTGCTGGAACAACCAAGGGTTGGGGAAGTAAGGCATAGGCTGAGGAGGGTAGTTCGGGAAGCCTTGTGTGGGTAGTAACCTTGAGGTGGAAATTGGTAGTAATTCGGAGGTACTTGCTGGAACTGAGGTTGCTGAGGAGACTGTTGTGGTTCTTTAGGTTCCTCTGGTTTGGGAATGGACTCGGTTGGTGGGACGTCGGACATTCGTTTGTGGCTTAACCGTCGGACCACAACGATAAAAATCTCTGCTACTAGCAGTACTGCTACTGACAGTAGCAGTACTTTTACTGACAGTAGCAGTACTTTTTCTGACAGTAGCAGTACTTTTACTGACAGTAGCAGTACTTTATCGTCGAAAACCCTCTCAAATTTTCCTTTTTACTGACAGTAGCAGTACTTTTACTGACAGTAGCAGTACTTTTACTGACAGTAGCAGTACTTTTTCTGACAGTAGCAGTACTTTTTCTGACAGTAGCAGTACTTTTACTGACAGTAGCAGTACTTTTACTGACAGTAGCAATGGTCGAGATCGAACCTACCGACGAGGCAATTTACCTAATTGAAATTAACGAGCTTGTTAAAGACTTCCTCAGGCAGAATGTAAAAGGCAAGCTTGTCGCAATTCAATGGGTTCCAAATCCAGACAAGAAGACGAAGGTCAGACACATTGACGGTGACAAGCTCAACAACCGTAAGGAGAACCTCGAGTGGTTCTAAGAGTAAAAAAATATATTTTAGGGGGAAAACCCCAAGTAAATTTAAGTTTTTATTTTTGGTATTGGTACCAATTTTGGAATGTGAAGACCACATCCCAACCTCTGTACGTGAGTCTTGGGTCCACGTCTAAGACCCTTCTGTAGCAATTCCAAGCCCGAGCAAATTCAATTGTCAACCACTCGTCTCCTCTGTAGTCTTCAATCCATTCTTTGAAGAGACGGTTGAGTTCGAGCCTGGAATATCTCTTGCCTGGTACCAACACCAACATTTGGTTGAACTGGACGAAGCGCTCAGGGATGTACGCCATTAAAAAAATGTCACTTTTTTGAAAAATAAATTTTTTACTTCATGCAATGTTTAACTATTTCACCATCTTCTTTAACACCCCAGTACTTACGCTTGGAGAGGACATGAACTTCGGAAAATACCTTATCTAGCTTAAAACAGCCCATCTTCTCACCGACTAAACCCATTTCAATGAGTTTGTTATAGCCTTCTTCGTTCGTCATGAGTGCGTCAATGTTCTCATAGTAAACCTTCACTTTGGATTTGACTTCGGAGAAGAATTTGTTGTACTCGTCAAGGACTGCCTTTGCGAACTGAGGGTAAGACCAATGTTCGACAATAGGTTTTAATGTGGTTACTAAGCCACTTTGACCTTGAGTGAATTCGTACTTCAAAACAAAAGGAGAAAACCTTTCAACAAAGTTGTCGACCTTCTCATAATGTTTACTCTTCATCTCTTGAGGTTTCTTAATGGAATATCCCATGTCGAATTCATAAGCAATTTGAGTGTCATTGCAAGTTTGGGGTTTGAAGCTTTCCTAATATCATACAGTTGTTGTATGACTTTTCCAACTGTATAGTTCCTTCCCGGGAACTCACCATCTTCGTTTGGAATTCCAGTCGGAATATATTGGACAAACCTCATGTACGCAGCGTTAAGGTCGACATAGTATATCTTTTCGTTTGAGTCGAACTTGTTGCAACCAATTGGTCCAGTTTGTGGAAATTCAAGTGAGTCTCTTATCTTCTGAGAAACTTCTCCTGTTATCTCATAAACATCGTCGAAGCAACCTGTTTCATATAAAACCTTCTGACCTAACTCAGATGCTCTCCAATACAATTTGACGTCAATTGGATGTCTCAATGGAAGTTTGTTTATAGCATCTTGAAGTTCTTGCAACCTCATTGGAAGTTCTTCTGGTTCAGGTTGGTATCCGAACATACCAACCCCTTGTGGAACTGTGTACTTCTTTTGTACTAGAATTTTGTCTGGAACAACTTTTGGTCTTGCTAACAATGAAAAGTTTGTTTCGTCTTTTGGTACAAAACTTTCTGTAAGCTTGTCATCTGGAATTGGTTCCAACAAACCTTTCTCGAAAAGAATGTTTACAGCTCTGACAATGTTGCACTTACTTTTACCAAAGAATGGGTTTGTAAGACTTTCGTTCAACATGAAGTGGTTGTGGACAATTATAATCTTCAACCATGGTAAGTCTTTGTCAACAACATAGTCGTCATGTGAAGAACCTTTAGCTGTAGGTATGTTGACTCGGATATTGACATTTGCCAACGGTGCAATTTTTGCCAATTGACCTCTGAGAATGTACCTTGTCTTCACACATGACTCAAGATACTTCATCTTCTCATCTGTAACAAGACCAGAGTTCCTGAGACATGTAAGAATGCAAGGTTCGTTGACAATTGTTTCAATTGAATTGTAAATTCCATACCTTGTCAAGTCAATGTCAGACTTATTTATGAACGGGAAGTATCCAGCATGTTGTCTGACTGCTTGAGGGTTAGGTTGGTACCATTCGAACTTGACACTTGCAATTCCTTCAATTGCATTCAAAATGTCTGAGTCGGAGTCAACCATTTGTTCTCTCTTTGTAGTCTTGAAAGCGTCAAGAAGTTTTGCGGCTGTTTGTTCATTGCCATGTGCATAGTAAATGTGACCATCCAAATCTGTTATGGTCAATCTGAGATTGTGTCCTTTCTTATTTCCGTCTTGTATGGCAGCAAGTACTCCCATGAAGCCTTCTTTGTTCTTTCCTTCGTCAAAGTTTACTGTAAAGGTTCGACCAGATGTAATTTGACTTCTAACTTCACGATACTTTTCATATGCATATCTTGTTCTTTCCATGGGAGCATGTGTGTCTTCACCTTTTCCTTTTTTCCTTCTCAAAGGATGCAATTGTTCGTCATGTTTCCAGTAGAATCTGGCAAAGCCGTCGTGTCCTTCAACTTGAGGTTCACTAACATCGAAAGGCATGTCCATAAGACGTTCTTCTTCTAACCTCTCTAGTCTGTTTGGATAATTGGCACGTGCTGTTTCCAAATCCATTTCGTAGCGAAGACCAGACAATTTGTCATAGACTTTTATGGGTCTTCCCTTCCTATATTTAAAATTCTTCGAAACTCTCCAACCATATCTTTGCAACTCTGCTTTTATTCTAGCAGACTTTCTGTCCATTCTATATGGGGGCATTTTTATAAAAATAAAAAAATATTTTTTTCTTTACTTTACATAACCGCCTGCTGCCATAAGTCTTTGACGCCAACCCATACCAGCTAATGAAGGTTGACTTGGTTTAGTTTCCAAACTAAACTTTGGTTTTGGTTTATCTTCAGTTTTTGGTTTTTCTTCTTCTATCGGTTTTTCGTCACTTTTCGGTTCCTCTGACTTTACTTCACTTGCAGGAACAGTTGTGTCGTCAACATCTTCATAAATATCATATGCCATTTGTTTTTGTTTTCCTTTCAACTTTTTGTGTTTGTTGTAAAGTTTAGAATATTTCGACTCTAAGTCAATGAGATGTTCTATAATGAACTGTTGGTCAGTGAAGTAAACTTTTCCATCTGTTGTCTCGAAAGCTCCTTCAGACTTCAATATTTTATTTGTGAGAGTCTGTTTCTTTTTTGAGATACTAGCCGTTCCATTTTTATGAAAAGTGACTTTGTAGTTAGGGTTTGTATTTCCAGATCTGGCACTTTCTATTATTGAATTTTTCTCTTCATCTGTAAGTTCTTTGACAGGTTTTGACAATGGTTCTGAACTTTTTGTTTGTGGTGTCAAATCTACCGTTTCAACTTCTTCGGTCATTTCATCTCAGTAAAAAATTTTAGTTTGGTTTGTTTTCAACTGGTTGTTGTTGTTTTTTAAGTCGGTCTAAAACTTCCTGAGGTATAGGAAGAACTTGACAAACACGTTGTGTAACTGCTGGAAGCCGACAAATCATCTTGAACCCATTTGTCTCAATGCTGTATTGTTCATTTCATCTCAGTAAAAAACTTTACATTCCCCACGTTTGAGGCGGTTGAGGTTGGTTATTGTTTACCCATTGTTGTGCATGGTTATATCCTCTGTTAAAGAATCTTTCACCTTGGTCCATATAGTGTCCTGCTTGGTTATAGTAGTCATTGCTTTGTTATAATAGTTTCCTGCTTGTCTTCCTACATTGTCCATCCATCCTTGAACTTTTCCTCTTGTTTCAGGATTTGGAATAAGATTTGTTGCATCTCGTGCTACATCCCAACCTTTCTGTACAGTTTGTATAATAGGTTGTGCTTTCTCTTTAAGTATACCTAATGTACTCAAAATCTTCCTTCCAACTCC